GATGTGGTCTGGATGTTGTCCTGTGTCTTCTGGTCTCTCTTCTAGAAAGAGTTGTCTTTGTTATATTTTCATAAATATATGTGGTTTCGGGAGGAGATTTCTGCTGCTCTACTCATGCCGCCATCATGGTTCCACCCTCCTCCATTGTTTCTTTTTAAAAATATAAGCATATGTGCATGTGTAGGTGTGTGTATGTATATATACATATACAGCTATTTCCCTCACTTTGTTACACAAAAGGCAGCATACTGTAAATGCTGCTTTGCAATCTGCTTTATTCACTTATCAACATATCCAGAAAATCACTCCATAGTAGGATATGTAGATTTGCCTCATTTCTTTTTCATTATATTGTACTCCATTGTGTCTTTATTCAACCAGATCTCTATGAATGGACGTCTGGTTTAGTTTTTTACTGTTACAATTAGTGCCACTATGCCCATTTTATTTTGTGTTTTTTTCCCAGGGTATTAGGAATTTCTGGGTAAAAAGGTAAATGCATGTGTAATTTTACTAGATAATGCCAATTCCTTTCTGTAGCTACCCTTATCATTCTGCATTCCCAATGTTAATGAAAAACAGTGCCTGGTTCCCTACAACTTTGTTAATACATATGTTGTAACTTTTTATTATTGAAAACCTGATAGATAAGCAATGTCTCCTCAGTGTCATTTTCTTTTGCATTTTTTTTTTGTATGAGTGAGTTTGCACATCTTTTTTTTATGTGTTTAAGCACTGTGTGTATTTCTATTTCTGTGAATTTTTCATTTCTCTAACCTGTCTTTCCATGAAGTGCTTGGCCTTTTTCTTCTTTGTTTTTAGATGCTCCTGCCTCTTTCAAAGTGGTGTACATTGGAAATCTTGTTTTAAGTCATTTTCCTTTTCACAGTGCATATGCTGATTTTTCTTATGTAAAAGTTATTTTTTAATTTTTATATAGTCAGATTCATGGATCGTTTCTTTTACTGGCTTATATTTTTATATATTTCAGGAACATTATCCATTTCAAGTGTTTTCATAAAGGTTTTCAAATTTATTTGTGTAGAGTATACAAAGTGGTCTGTATAAATTTTTCTGTATTTCCTCTAATTTTATGGCTATTGTTCCATTATCATTTATTTCATATATTTATGAAACCAAACCTTCCTCCCTTCTCCTATTTTGGTTTAATAGTTAGTAGTTTGGCTATTTTCTTGACTTTGTAAATATTTAGCATTTGGTGAGCACTTTGATTTTACTATTTCCTGTGGATGCAAGTAATGGTTAGTAGTGTTTTTACAATTTTAAGTGGAAGAGATTTTTTTAAATGCTATTATTTTCTAGTTATATTGAATTGTGATCACAGAAGTCCACTTAAATTATTTGCATTTTTTAAAAATATTGATGTTTTGTTTCTGGACTACAATATGTCAATTTTGAGAATTTTCCTTTACTTAGAAATGGGTTTAATCTCTATTATCAGGATTCAGTGTTCAATATACATGCATTAGATCTATTTTTTTGATCATCTTGTTTAGGTCTCCTGTATCCATACTAAATTTTTTGTTGTTCGATTAGGTCTATTCTGTTCTGAGAGGGTGTTAAAAATCTTGAATTATTCTCTTTACATTACTTTTAGTTTCTGGTTATAATAGTTGTTGCTGTCTTATTAGGCACATGGATATTAATGTTAGTTTTCCTTTCTATAAATTTCACTTAGCATAATGTCTTCAATGTCCATCCACATTGTGGCAAATGGCAGGATTTCCTTCTGTTTTGTGGCTGAGTAATATTTGTATATATATACATACCACATTTTCTTTATTCATTCATCTGTTGGTGGACACTTAGGTTATTTCTATGTCTCAGCTATTGTAAATAATACTGCAATGAACATGGGTGTGCAGACACCTTTTTGAGATAGTGGTTCTGTTTCCTTCAGACACTCAGCGGAGTCCCCTTTCTCATATCCTTGCCACCTCTAGTTATATTTCTTGTCTTTTTTGATATTAGCCATTCCAATAGGTGTGATATGATAACTCATTGTGGTTTTGATTTGTCCTGTTTTCTTTTTATTTAGATATGCCTGGCTTATCTATAATTACCCTTTTATTTTTATAATTTTTGTTTTATATTTAGGTAAGTCTCTTCTATCCAGCAGAGTTGGATTGACTTTTTCACCAATCTGAAAATCTTTTTCTTTTCATAGGGGAATTAAGCCCATTTTCATGTATTGATATGATTGGTATGCTTCATTTTAGTTTTGTCATAATCATATGAAATGTTTCCTATGATGTCTGTTTTGTTCTCTCTTTCTGCCTCATTTAGTTTGGTATTTAGGAAGATTTGGATTTTTTTCCAATATTTTTACATAATACTATTCAGTCTCTTATATTTTGATATTGTCTTCCTATTATGAACAATATTGCAATTAGCTAGTAATCCCCTCTTTCTATTCCCTCCTTACCCCCAACATTTAATTTAAAGTATTATTTTTAATCCCAGTTTTAAAAAGCAAGATTTTCTCTTCATATCTAGTCCGATTTCTCCCATTTTTAATATTTTTATTATATTCCATATTATCAAAACCTATAAAAATTAAACACTACTCTTTCAACCTTATTCTCACTGTTTAGCACCAGTTCTGCTGTAAAATGCTCACCACAAAACTTAAGTTGGAGTTCTCCAATCATTTTCTGAAGCTTATTCTCTAATAGATTCCTCAAGAAGTCTATGGGAACAGTATTTCCTGTTTCCTTCCAAGTTCATAACTGTCTATATCTTTAAAACTTTTATACTTGAAAGGCCCTTAGCTTAAATTGTCTTTCTTTGAGTATTTTAAATATGGTATTCAATTTCAATTGCTTTTCATTTGATGGGAGGGAGACTAAATTTTGCCAATGCATCTTCTACTCTATCTTGGCCACATGTTAATGTCTCAATTTCTAGGTTGTTCTTATAAACCAGCAATGTTCCATTAGTTTTGTACAGTGTTATACCTGTGGGTGCTTCAGATCTCATAAGTCAACAAATAAACAGAAAATATTTGTAAGGACATTTCTAAGGGCTGGAATCAGGTTTACTGAAGTGATCAATTCATCAATGAAACAATGAACAATATTTATTTGTTCAACTTTTCTGTGTTCATGCATCAGTTAAGCATGTATTAATCATTAACTATGTGCCTGACTGCAAGTGCAGTTCTGGCAATACAAGTCAAAAAAGGTACTGTCCCTCCCCCTAAGGATCTCCAGACATAGGTTTTAACTAGAAAGAGAGTGAAGTCAGTTTTTAAAATGTATTAACCAGTGCTTTCTTCCTCAGTGTCTACTGTCCTTTCTCTCATGATTCTTTGTGCCATAAGTTTTATAACTTGGTTATAATATAATGTTAAATTATTTAGTATGACAACAGTACTGCAGCTCCCAGTTTCTTTATACATTTTAATCATCTTCCTCTTTTTTCCTTCAGGACAATGCTGTAAAGTATTATTATCCTGATTTTAGAAAGAGGAAATGAGACTCGGAGACTGATCTGCCCAAATCCACAGTTACTAAATGAGTTATCTGAGACTGAATTTAATCCAGATCTGGTTTGGCTGATTTTGGACTACCTATTATGTCAGAAACAAGCAGAAAAATCTTTTTCCACGATGTCTGCTTCAGCTTTGAATCCCACAGCAGAGCGGCTGAGGCATACCATAGGTGGCTTCCAAATATTGTTAAAAGAATGAGGAGGAAAGGAAACAATCAGCAGCATAAAAAGGTAACCTACAGAATGGGAGAAAAGTGTTTGCTAATAATACATCTGATAAGGGGTTAATATCCAGAATACATAAATAACTCCTACAACTTGACACCAAGAAAACAAATAACCCAATTTAAAAAATGAGCAGTGGGTTTCAATACACATTTCTTCAAAATAGATGACCAATAAATTCATGAAAAGATGCTCAGCACCACTAATCATTAAAGAAATGCAAATCAAAAGTACAATGAACTATCCACTATTTCACATCGACTAGAAAGGCCACTATTAAAAAGAAAACCTAGATAATAACAAGTGTTGGTGAGGATGTGGAGAGACTGTAACCCTTCTGTACTTCTGGTGGGAATGTAAAATAATTCAGCCATTACGGAAACCAGTATAGAGGTTCTTCAAAAATTAAAAATAAAATTACAGTATATTCAGTAATCACACTTCTGGGTATAAACCCAAAAGAATTAAAGACAGGGTCTTGGAGATGTATTTACTTAGCCATGTTCACTGCAGCAATGTCTACAAAGCCAAGATGTGGAAGCAACTCAAAAGCCCATCAAGGGATAAATAGATGAAGAAAATGTGTATGCAGAAAATGTACATGCACAGAATGGAATATTATTCAGCCTTATAAAAGAAGGGAATCCTGCCACGTGTTACAACATGGATAAACTTTGAGGACATTTTTTAAGTGAAACTTTCCAGTCACGAATAGACAAATACTGTATGATTCCACTTGCATCAAGTATCTGAAGTAGTTAAACTCATGGAAACAGAAATTGGAATGGTGGTTGCAGGGGGCAATGGGCCACATGTGAGTGCCCCACGATGTAGGCAAACTGTCTATCAATAGATATAGCATTTCAGTTTTGTAAGATGAAAAATTCTAGAGATCCCTCAAATAACAGCGTATAGTTAACACTTCTGAACTATACACTTAAAAATGGGTAAGATGGTAAATTTTATATTATGTGTTTTTTAAATCACAATTTAAAAAATTAATGAAAAAAAAAAAGAATGGAGGGCAGCCCCATGGTACGCTGTCCACTTCCGGATTTTTTAAGTTAAAAATAGTCTTGCAGCTCTTTCACCCAATGATAGGGCTAGTCCCAACCTTCTATTCTCCAGGCAAGAATGGCCTCAGGGCTCCCCCAGGTGCCGCTCCGGCTAGTGGCCGCCCCTCGCCTCGCCCCGCCCTTCCCGAGTTTCCTCCAATTGCGGTCCTGGCCACGCCCCCTGCCCGAGCCTCTTCCTGCATCCGGGGTGGTGGGCGGGCCCTGAAGCCCAGCAAGAAGCATGGAGGAGCCCGGAGATCCCCTGTCCAACCCAAGCTCCTCGTCCTCACCTCGGCACTGCGCGGGGGTCTCGGTGTCCACGGAGCTGCTGACGGCGGGGAGCGGCGGCCAAGGAGGTGACAGGCGGCGGCGGCGGCGGCGTGGGGCCGGAGCTGCCAGCGGCTCCTTGGCCAGGCCTCAGCATTCCGGAGGGGAGCCCCGGGATAGAGTCTGGGAGATGAGGGTTGAAGACCCGCCGCCACCCCCCACCCCCCATGGTTATATTCCGCGTGGCAGTGGGTCCACTCTGCTGAGCGCCGCATCGAGGCAGACCCCCTAAGGGGAGGTCGGCTGTCTGGGTCCAAGCAGTTGGCTGGTAGCGGGAGCAGAGAACTATTATGGATTGACCGCCTCCCCACACACATCCCCAAGTTCACAGAAGTACTCTTAGTGCTGCTCTTTTACAGAGGGAGCCATGGGTTCACGTGGGATTTCAGATACTGTAATAGAGAATTAGGAAGCGTGGGTTTGAATCCCAGCTCCAATTAGCTGTAGAACTTTAGGAGAGTTGTTCACATTGTCAATGCCATACTTCTCACTTTTGGAAAATGGTGGTGGTAGTACCTATACAGTTTTTTTGAGGACAGTGCGCTTAAGGTTTTGGGCATATCGTCAGTAAATACTAGCTTGACTGTGAGAATGTTCTGTGAGAACGGAGAGCATCCAAAGCCATTGTCAATAGCTTGTTTTACTATTCGCTGGGAATGAACTAATTCAATCCTTACAACAACCCGTTGCAGAAGGTTCTGTTATCTCCATTTCATAGATGACGAAACTGAGTCGTGGTGTATCATACCCGATAGGTAACTTGCTGGTGATCACGGGACCGAAAAGTGGCAAAAATGGGATTTAAATCCAGTCAGTCCGCCTCCAGAGTCCATGCTCTTTATGCTAATACAGTTGCTGGACATAAAGTAGCAAGGGATGCTTGTTTGTTGAGCTCTGCTCTATGTGTGAACAGGATTTTTGTACTAGAGTGAAGAGATTTTCCAGATGTTGTAAACAGGGTATGCAGAACCCTGAGGTTTGAAAGACAAAGCCTTGTTCTCTGAGCTCTGATGGGCTGGAGTGTTGGGTTAATTTGAGGAATAGTTAATGATAAGGTTTAAAAGCTAAAGTGAGAAACTTCATTTTTTCCAAGGGGCTCGTTTGTCTTGATTGGACATCTTTAGGGGAACTAAACAGGCAGATATGTTTTATAAATAAACTAATACTCCAAACCAATTGCCCAATATAACACAGCTAGTAAACATTTCTGGCTTCACTGAACCATTATTGTGCTCTATACTGCTTCCTTCATTCTGTCATTGCAGTCTCACATTTGTCACTGATGGATTTATGATCCAGAGAGATGCAGTTTAGTGTGCATTTAGTACTCAGAATTGGTGACACAGAAATATATTAGACCAGGCCTAAGAAAGAGGAGATGAATGTACTTAGGTAAAATGTGATGGAACTTGGAGCACCTCTTTTTCTAAAAGCATCTTGGGGAATGTAGAATAGTCAGGACCTGAGAGTGCTTACAGAAATTCAAAGCTTGCTGATGGGCTCATATTTCTTTACGCTATAGAGAATTACATGTGTATGTGCTTTCAGGTATATGGGACAGGTTGCTCATCAACTCCAAGCCTAATTCCAGAAAGAATTCCACTCTCCAAACAGTTCGGATAGAGAGAAGTCCTTGTAAGTACCCTTCCCTCTCTTTCTCTTCCTCTCTCTCAGGAACCTTCTCTGATGTTAAATTTTGCCCAATTAAATAGTTACTTGATGGGACAATCTCTGCCTTTGTGGTTAAATATCAAATCACAGCGAGTACAGCAGAGCAAGTGTTACTTGGAATTTTGGTAGTGAGGTCAGTGCACAAGAATAGACTTTCATACATTCTCCTGCTTTAAGATGTAACTTTTCCCAGGAAAACTCTCCTTGTGGGATGAGTTTTTAGAAATCAAAAAAAAATTACTGCTAATTAACATGGGAAATTTTTTTTAGAGGATACTGAGTCTCAAATTTAATACAGCCATATAGGAAAACACCACTACATCCCATTAAATTAGACACAGTTTCTCAAATGCTAAATGTTACTTATAATACGACATAATTCTCTTCACTAATTATTCTGCAGTGCTGCACTGCATACTCAGAAACAGGTACCACACTCAGACTTTGTTCATATAGCATACATGTTATATCTCACATCTAGGTAATTCACTCTTCATGTTTTTTAAAAAAAGGATAAAGACAAGAATTCAGTGAAAACAATGTAGATGGTGCATGAGGTTATGTTGATAAGAAATCATGATTATCCTGAGAGGGGAACTTAACCATAGTATTCAGTATATCTGTAACAGCTCAAATGACTGCATGGTGGCTTTCCATCCCAATGCAAGTTTTTGTGTGTATTTAGTTTTGTTGGTGACAAGTACCTCGCTGGGAGTGGAATTGCTAAGTTCTATGGAAATTTTTTTTTTTTTTAGAGAAGAAATTGCCAAACTATTTTCCGAAGTTGGGTGTACCATTTTGCATTCCTTTCAGCCAGGTACTATACAGGGAGGTGGTCTTTTTAATTTTAGCTATTGTAGTATGTATGTAGTGGTATCTCATTGTGATCTCAATTTGTGCTTCCCTAATGACGAATGACCTTGAAATCTTTTCATGTGCTTATTCACTGTTTATGTCTTTGGTAAAGCGTCTGTTCAAACTTTTAGCTCGTGTTTAAAAATCATGTTGTTCATCTAATAAACAGTTCTTGTTTATGCTTGTTAGTGATGAATTCACCAGCCTTCATGTGTCTGAGAAAGTGATGGTTTTAGTTCTGAAAGGTGTCTTCAATGAATATAGAATTCTAGGTTGACAGGTTTAAAAAAATTTCTTTTCAGTCTTTCAGTACTTTAAAGATGTTTTGTCGTCTTCTGACTTGCATTGCTTCTGATGAGAAGCCAGCTGTCATTCTTGTCTTTGTCATGTATATATTTGATTCTTGAGTTTGGGGTTTGTTGAAATTCTTGAATCTGTGAGTTTATAATTTTCATAAGGTTTGGGAAGCTGTTGGTCATTTTTTTATTCAGATATTTTTTTTCTGTCCTTGCTTTGTCACATTTTCTGCAGGGACTCCTGTTTACACAAAATTTTGCTCCTTGAAGTCATCCCACAGTTCACTGACGCTTGGTTTAGTTTTCTTGGTTTCTTGTTTTTTGTGTTATTTTTGGTGCACTTCATTTGGGGTAGTTTCTATTGCTGTGTCCTCAAGTTCATTGGTCTCTGTTGTCTAATCTGAAGTTGAATACCATCTAGTTTATTTTTTAAGTCAGATATTGTGGTTTCTATCTCTGTAAGTTCAGCTTGAATCTTTATAACTTTCTTTTCTCATTGTGATTATGCTCTTCTTTGCTTTGTTGAATACGTAGAGTATATTTGTAATAGCTGTTTTAACTTAGTTCTTGCTGATTTTATCATCTGTCATGTCTGTGTCTATATTGATTTTTTTTCTACTCAATGGAGTGTTTTTTCATGTTTGCATGCTTGGTAATTTTTATTGGATGCTGGACATTTTTTATTTTATGTTGAGTGTTGGATTTTGTTTTATTCAGTTTAGAAGAACTACAGCTGATCTAGCTTCAGGGTTTAGCATGTACTTTTCTAGAGTACCACAGAAATATTTAACTTCTCAGTCTCAAGGTTCATGCCAGACTTGTAGGTAGTTGTTTTGCTCCACATGATTTGTTAGTTAAAAACAAAAGCAGAACCAGACCTGGCCTGATCGTCCATCTGTGTTAAAGATTGAATCTGCATACCCAGAAATACTTTTATTTTTATCAGTAATTTCTCTTTTTGTGTATCTGAAGGGGTATGAGAGCTAATTTATTTATTCACTAGTGTGTGCCAGACCATGGATGATTAAAGGCCATTTCTTGACCTTTACCACCATTTTCTTTTTCCATATTCTGGACATTTTAGTCATTTGTTGTACAGTGCTACCAGTGACTTAACCATTATGTGCATAGTTAGTTATATGCTGGGCCTCTTTTGAGAACTAAAGAAATTAGAAATCCTTTGTTTATTGATTTCCTTGTAGTAAGCATAGTGTCTGGCGGTCATCATCCCTGTTTGACAGATGAGTAAACTGAGGTTTTGAATGGTTAAATTAAATGTAGTCATTAGGATTCCTGTGGTTAAAAGGTCTGAAACCCACTTCAGGTTGCCTTAAACAAAAAAATTAATTACGTTGGCTCATGTTACTGAGAAAAAAAACCCAGTGATTTCAGGTACATCTGTGTTCAGGTGCTTGGTGTCGTCAGGGGTCTGCTGCTCTGTGTCTCTTAGCTCTGCTTTTCTAGAGCAGGCTTTTCCCTAACATGTGGCAGTTGGCCAGTTTATCAGCAGCTCCAGGCTTACATTCAGCAGCTCACTTAGGCATTTACTCACTCAGAAAGAAGGTATCTCTTTCTCAACAAACCAGAGTCCCAGGGTGATCTCCTATTGGCCCGACTAGATCACAGTGTCACCGTGTATGCCACTGAACCAAATCACGGTGGCCAAGGCTATGGAACATAACAGGCATGAACAAGATAAGTGACAAGAGTGACTAAGAGCAACACAGCTTAAAAGTCAAGGTTATGTTACTAGAAGAAAAGGGAATAGCTGTTGGGCAGGTAAAAACAACCTCTATTTAATTAATGCCCAAGGTAATTCAGAAAGTAAGAGGTGGAACTGGGATTCTACTAACAACCTGGTCAGTCTGACCCAAAAACCTCAGATCATTTAACTACTAAGTCACACTGCCTCCTTATTCAGTCACTGAATAAGAATGCCAACCTTCTTGGAACTTACAGGTCTGGAGATATATATCAAAAGCACAAATAAAACATTGAGAAATAATTGCTGAACTTGTGTAGCCCCACTGCTTTAGAATTCAGAAGAGAATGGAGGTTTTTAAAATGGTAAGAATTTGAAATTTTGTTATCATTGTTAATATTACTATGAAATTTAAAGTGTTTTACAGGAAGTTCTGAATTCTAAAATTTGAAGTTTGGCCAAATAATAACATGAATATTGATAAACTGTGTTTTCTCTCCTTAGTATTGGACCAAGTACAGAGCTTTCTCCCACAGATGGCTCAGGCAAATGAAAAGCTAAGAAGAGAAATGGCAGCTGCACCACCTGGTTGTTTCAATATTGAAAATATTGATGGGGCTCTGGGAAAAGTGATCCAAATGGTAACTATGCTTTGTTTTCATTTCTTAAAGTAGAATTACCAGTATGCCTTGTCACCTAAAAAGAAGAGAAGTTTCCATTGAAGTCCAAGTGTTATTTTCTATCTTACAAAGTCAGCTTATGTTTCTGGTGTTTGATACTTGGCCATGTTATGATTAAGGATATTATAGGTCAGTAAGCATTCCTGGGTGAAGTTTAGGGATTTAGTAATACAGAGTCAGAGGAGAGCTTTCTCAGGGCAAATATTACTTTACCAAATGCCCTAATTGGATTTTTTTTTCTTTCCAAGGCCGAAAAGAGGTCTCTGTATTCTGATTCATTGAGAATGCAAACATAAATGATGTGTTTAACAGAGTAACTGATTACATAAGCCACGTGTGAAAACTCTCAAGCTAGGCTCATATCTTATTCCTACACTGCAATTCCCTTTATAACACTTGTGTCTTTACAGAGCTGACACCATTATTAATAATATATCTAATTCATCTGCAGATCTGGTCACCTCACCTTGAGAATATATCCCAAATATACTTTCACGACCTCCACTGCTGCCGCCCTTGGTCCAAGTAACTGTGATGACCTCTTTGGACTATCCCAGTAATTTCCCAACCATTTGGAGACCAGGGGGCTTCCCACCAAGTTTCTGATAAGTTTGGAGTCCTCCGAGGGCCTTTGTGACCCTGCTGCCAGCCCCCGTCTGACCTTACCCCTTCTCTGCACCCTCCTTGCTGCCAGGCCTTTGCCCTCTTTGTGGAGTGCTCCCCCCGCATTTCTTCATCTTGACTCCCTCCATCTTTTAGCAGCTGTCACCTCAACAAGATTCCTTCCCCAATGGCCCTGTTAGTAGCTTATCCTGCTTTACTCTTCTTTATTTTTGCTAACCTGCACTCTGTTTTATATATAATTGCTTATTGTCTTCTTTCCCAATTAGAACAGAGGTCAGCAATCTTTTATGTAGGGGCCAGATAATAAATACTTCATGCTCTGTGGGCTGTACTGTCTCTGTTGCAATTACTTCATTTCTGCCATCTTAGCATGAAAGCAGCTGTGGGTGATACATGATGAATAGGCAAGTTTTATAAACCTTATTATGGACATTAAAACTTGAATTTCATATAATTTTCACATTTCATGAAATATTATTCTTTTTTTTTTTTTGAGAGGGCATCTCTCATATTTATTGATCAAATGGTTGTTAACAACAATAAAATTTGGTATAGGGGACTCAATGCACAATCATTAATCAACCCCAAGCCTAATTCTCAACAGTCTCCAATCTTCTGAAGCATAACGAACAGGTTCTTACATGGTGAGCAAGTTCTTACATAGTGAATAAGTTCTTACATGGTGAACAGTGCAAGGGCAGAGTCATATCACAGAAACTTTCGGTTTTGATTACGCATCATGAACTATAAACAATCAGGTCAAATATGATAATTCGTTTGATTTTTATACTTGATTTATATGTGAATCCCACATTTCTCCCTTATTATAATTATTATTTTTATTTTTAATAAAATGCTGAAGTGGTAGGTAGATGCAAGATAAAGGTAGAAAAGGTAATTTAGTGCTGTAAGAGGGTAAATGTAGATGATCAGGTGTGTGCCTATAGACTAAGTATTGATCCAAGCTAGACAAGGGCAACAAAACATCCACGGATGCAGATTTCTCTCAAAACAGGGGGGATGAGGTTCTAAGCCTCACCTCTGTTGATCCCCAATTTCTCACCTGATGGCCCCCCTGTGACTATGCCTGTCTTAGGTTGTTCCTCCCTTGAGGAATCTTACCCGTCTCTGGCTAACCAGTCATCTTCCGGGGCCATACAGGGAAATGTAAAGTTGGTCAGTGAGAGAGAAGAAATATTGTTTGAAAAGGTTAGCTTTTTACTTCTTTGCAGATTTATGCCCTGTGGCTTCTATGCCCAGCATTTGTCTTGAGGTATCTTTACCACTTGGAAGAATTATGATACTCGGTAATTTCGATATGAGGCACGAATACCACTAAAGGGTTGTAATTAGGAAGGAAGAAGAAAAGCTATAGAAGTAGCAGACAGAAGAAAACATGGGAAGATTGATTATTTCTTTGACATATCTTCTTATAGTGTAACATAAGCATGTATAGGTTTTAAACTACTAATTAAATTGCGTGCACACATTAACATAATAGGAATACAGCTACATAAACAAAGCAGACCTACAATTACCAGCTATATCCAGTGAAACCAAGAACACCAGTTAGGTACCCTAGGCATTTGTGAAAACTTATCAATGATATGATGGATATTGTCTAACTGAATTTGAATAGTTTGAGAAAAATCAGACAAATTAAAACAACACATTCCTGGGAACTGTTCACATCCCATATGTTCTTTTAACAGTAGATAGTCTATAGTTGCACAATTTTGGAGCACTGCAACTTGCACTTCTCCTAATTCTTGGTTGAGTTCCAACAGTATAGATCCAGTCAAATTTGTTGTTTTACTGTATGCACAGGCCAGCTTAGATATCTCCTTCTTCATTCCAATGGCAAGTCCAGGAACCGGTGGGATGAATGCAGCTACAACTGCAACAGCGCCAGGATCTTAGTTGAAGTTTTTTGATGATCATCTTCTGGAATGACTCTTCCAGAGGATGTTGATATGAAATATTATTCTTTTGATTTCTTTTTTTCTTGACTACTTAAAACCATAAAAGTCATTCTTAGCTCGTGAGCTAGTAAGAACAGGCAGTGTGCTGGGTTTGGTCCAAAGGCCGAAATTTGCCAGCCCCTGCTTCAAAAACATAAGTTACACAAACCTAAGTACTGTTTTTGAGTCTTGAGTACCTAGTGTGGTGCCTGGCTTATGTTAGTATTTATTAATGTTTTTGAATGAATACTGTTTAATGTATTGAGTATGTATAGAATTGAGTTGTGGGGGACTTTTGAGACTTAACAGTAAATGTAAATCATTATGGTGGACTCTAGTAGCTAAAAAAATAAAAGTGCCCTATTGTGTTAAAAACACTTCTTGTCCTTTGTCCTATCTTTGTGCTAAATGTTGGTTCTTCCCAAAGTTGTTCTTACAACTTCTTAGGGAACTGCCTTCAAATAATTTCCCACATGGTGCTTTTTGCAGGATGTGGCTTTGTTTGAGATGAATCAGTCCAATTCAAAAGAAGAGGATAGTTCAGAAGAGAATTCACAAGGCAGTTCAGAGGACAGTTCGGAATCGGAGGATGAAGATGACAGCACCTCTTCTGAAGTCACCGTCGATAACATTAAGCTTCCTCACTCAGAAGAGGGAAAAGGCAAGATAGAGGTTTTGGACAGTCCTGCCAGTAAAAAAAAGGAATAATGTAATAAATGACCTAAGAAACAGGTGACTTACGCCTACTAATTCTGTGAAAAAGAATGTGGCTCACTGGTTATTTTGCATTTCCGGGTATCTGTGGTGCTTTTATGTAACACTGGATGAATTTTGTTTCTCAGAGAAGCAGAAGCTGGCTTTTAAAGAGTCGGGATAGGTGGCGTTTGGGGATCTTCTAAGAACAGACTGTCTTTGATCTCACGTTGAAGCGATTTAATTTAGAAAACTTTACTTTGTTCATGGTGATGAGTGAATTTATTATCTACTTTCTCCAGTGTAGATTTCAGAAATACCAAACTTATTTTAAAGTAAAAGTACAAATGGCCTGTTTGTTTTTACTTTAAATTATTCTCTTGGATAAAACAACTTAGATGGGCTTTTTCTTTTTTAGGTTATTATGAAGTCCAATTTATTTTGTTACCATCAAAGTGTGTTCAGTGAAAGAGAAATTTAAGAGAAAGAAGTCTTTTAGAAAGAAAAGACTTATATTTAGCTGCCCTTAGGCATATCTACTTTCATTTTTTTAAAAATTCCTTTCCAGTTTGAGCTGGAAAACTGGTGCTTTGTGGCTTAATCACTGTTGATGACTCTGTAGCCACTCAGTGAGTGTAGAATTGACTGGCTGGGGAAATTCATGTTTTTTTTTTTTCTTTTAAGCAAAAAAATTTTTTTTCTCAGCTATTAAAACCATTCTACACAGTTTGAAACCTATCAAATGTAGAAAATAAAGGAGACCATAGGAAAAACAGGACACAGGTCTCTCACATAGACCTGAGAATTTAAAGGACTACATCCAAGTGGGCTAACCCGATGGAATTTTGTCCCCTAATGTTTCAGGGCTCTCTTTGAACCATTTTTTCCTACTCACATTAGCCCAAGACATTTTGTAAATACTGTGAAGATAATTCTCAGGATTCTACCAGTTTTTCCTGGTTATGCCTCTCTAACTATTTGAAGAAATGACCAGATCTGGAAACGAGACTTCTCAGCTAGAAAGGGTATTACGCTTTTAGAAAGGGTATTAGCACCCAACACAACTGTGATGAATTATTGGTATAAATTTTTAAAGATTGTCATTTACCAGAGAATATACTATGCTAAATTGTGAGAGGAGTTGCACTTGTCTGGTTTACTACTTAGCATGATGTGTGGTATACAGCAGGCTCTGAATAATGTTAACACATGAAGTAATGGCTGTATGAGGGTATACAGGACATTTGAAGCTAGGGTAGGCTGCTCTAGGCAGGGAAATACGAGGTGTGACTTCACAAGAAATACCTATCCAAGTAGAAGTAGACTGAGTGATCAGTGAAAGAGGCTAGTCAGTTTAGAAATACATACTAATATGTAGAATTTTAATGTTTCTCTCCTGCATTGGCTATCCAGTGTAATAAAGCTAGGCTTCCTATATAGTAAATGAAGTCAAGAAAGTTCAGGGTCTCTGGAAATTCTGATGACATAAGAGAAAAAAGAAAAAGAGTAACATTTGGTAAGAGTTAATAGATGATGCTAATATATGATAAAGATGCCATTTTAACTAAGTATAAAATGGATAAACTGTCAGAATTGGCTAAGTATTTCAAACAAGGTTAGATTCTAGCTTTATACCATGTGCTAATAATGTGTTAAATTACATATGGATTAAAATTTAAATATCAAGAAGATTTATATAAGAGTGGGAGACTATTTAATAATGAAATTGGGCAAAAGTTCATTTAAAAGCAGAACATTAAAGCCGGAAGTCACAAAGGAAAAGAGAAAATTCATCCACTCTTAAATATTTAAAACTATGGATGGCAAAGAAATTTAAAAGGCAAGGGACCAATTGGAGAAAATATTTGCAATATCAGACAATGCATGTCATTAATATACAAATTAGTAAAAAGAACTAATAGCTCACTAGAGAAAAGGTACGGGACATAAACAAGTAATTCACAGGAAAAAGAAAACCTTCCACTCCATTTATCAAAGAAATGCAAACGAAGCCAAGATTGTATTCTTTACATATCAAAATGGCAAATGAAACAATACAATAGCATCAACTTACTGAGCCCTTCCTATGTGTCACCTACTCTTCGAAGTGTTTTTACACTTAAGAGTTATCACCCTCATACAAATATAAAAACCTATTGAGTTGCACATTTAACATTTGTGCACTTTATGTATGTACGTTATACCTTAATTCAAAAGCTGTTTTATCAGCTGGTTGCCTTTAGTCTTTTGGAAGGTAAATCACTGTTGTGCTTCCGTTAGTCCAGCCTGCGCTTTCTCTGCCTGGTGCTTGGGTGTGAGATGGCAGCCATTTGGAGAATGGGTCTGTTCCTGCCAGGGTTGATGAAATGTTCTCTTCACACTTGTGGGGGGCCATCTTTCTATAGCTCTGTGACTGTAAATCAGTGTCATGTAAATCATGTGACTTACAAATCAGGAAATCAGGTGCCATGGGATGGAAGCAAATATTTCATTCTGAATGAATCTCCCATCTATTCCCACAATATTTTAATTGTGCATCAAATGTGGTACTTACAAAAAGGAAACCTGCCCCACCAAGTAGTTTGTGTTACTGTGCCTGTATCCTCTCTTGCAGGAGGAAAGGGAAGGAAAGGCTGAGTCTCACTTTCATCTGCATTTCCATCAAGTGCCTAGCATAGTGCCTTTCATTCCGTGGGAATGTACAATAAAGGTTCATTAAACTATTTTTTTCCTCTTTGTCTCAATAAAGTGATTCATCTTAAATTTCAGTGATTCATAATCCTGAAGAAAAAAAAGACAGGGTAAATATGATTGGTTGACTTTTCCCAAAAGCTTAATGTTGGAAACTTTGTGGTTGACTTCCCACCATCCATTCATGGAAAACCTTTTCCAACGGTTGGTTTGGGAATCAGCACATGACGCGAACCTTCCCAGTGAGGCATGAGCAAAATTGTGTTAGTGGAGTTTGGAAAGGAAAGTACTTCTTACTGCTAAAAAGGAGGCACATGAAGAGGTGGGAAGGACTGGATGTCTTATGAGTAGATATGATTCCTGAAACTCCTGTCTGGTGGCCATAAATAGAACCAGCTTTGGAGTGTAAAGTCTGCGCACCGAGGGCAGCAGGGAGAAGCAAAGTACATCATGGAATCATTGCACCAAATACCTGCAGGCTCAACTGTCGCTAGATTTTTGTTTTGTGACAATAAATTTCCTTACTGTTAAGAAAACACCACCTTAAGTGGGTATATTCTGCTTATACCCACTTTGCAGATAAGGACAGTGGTATGGGGGTGCTAAGTAAATTGCCTAAGGCCTCACAGTAGGTAAGAGCTGGAGCCAAGTTTTAAGTGCTGTCAGCCACATCTCGCCATCATGGGCCTACGGGCCACTATGCCACAAGCACAGGTCCTAAGTTGGATCAGATCCCAGCCCAGCCACTTACCTCAGTGTCTCCATCTGTAAAATGGATATAACAGTATCTCCCTCATGGGGTTTTGGTAAGAAATCAATGAGTTTAGAAGAAATCATGTGTTTAGAAGAGTACTCATTAAATATGAGGTGTTATGCTGTATGAGTAAAACTGGTGGCAAAAATTTGGAAACATTGCTATATGGACTCAGGAATTCCATTTCTAAAATTTTTTTAATTACTATAATTAAATATAGCTCAGTTCAAAAATTTCTATATATAATTTATTATAATGTTTAAAATAGCAAAAGCCAACAATATGTCCAAATATGTCTCAATGTCCAACTATAGGGAAGCTGAATTAAAGCCACTGAACATGAAGCAATATGTTTATTGACACAGCTGCTTGTATATTACTAACTGAAAAAAAGCAAGAACCAAATTATATACAGTATAATACCAATTCTGCAAAAAAAATATTCACAGGAAGTCTAGAACAATCTAATATCTGTGGTTATTTCTGTGGAGAGATGTTGTGGTTGAGTCTTACTCTGTTTTGTATATTTTTGCATAATTAGGTATTTAATCATTTAAAAAATTCATTTGCATATTACATATTATTTGTGTAGTATAGTAACAATAACCCACCCCATACATCATGTCTCGTATCTGATAATCTAGCTCAGGTTTCTCTTGCAGATAATGCCACTCTGCTGTTTTTTAATTTCCCCACCCAGGCTCTGATTTAAGCATAGGAAATAAAAACTATCTTAGCTTGGTTAAGACCATCAGCTTAATTGCCTGAGTGTCTATTCTGCTGCTTAATAGCTCTGTGATTTGGGCAAGTAAGCAAATATTTATTAAGCTCTTCCTACATGCTGGCACTGATGATACAGCACTGAACAAAAGCCCCTGTCCACAAAGTTTACATTCTAATAGGGAGAGATTGATGATAAACATATGCCAGGTTGTGGTAAATACCTGCAGGAAGAGAATAAATAATTACAAGGGAGATGAGGTGTGGATGTGGGGACATACTGCTAGAAAATGTGTGTCTATTACAGTATTTGAGGAGAGACCTGAGGGAAGTGAGGCAGCCAGCCACGAGGTTGCACGTGGGTCAAAGGAAGTAGCAGTGGTGTGCTGTTGCAGGCTTGTACTTGTTCGCACACATCTCTTCCCAACTCTACATAAGTGAAGTCAAATTGGTAGCTTGAAATCAGCCTAATGATAGCATTTAAATTGGTAGCTTGAAATCAGCCTAATGATAGCATTTATACACAGGAGTCAGCAAATGCTACAAGAGTTGTTTTTCCCTAGAGAACCATTTGGTGAACATTTAACAGCACACCACTGGGAAGAGGGAATAGTAAGTGCAAAGGCCCTGAGGTAGGCGATTACTTGGTCTGTTTGAGGAACATCAAGGCAGCCAGGATGGCTAGATAAAATAAGAGGGAAATTGATAGGGCAGAGGCAGCCAGGGGCAAGATCAACTGGATTTTGTAGGTCATGGTAAGTACACTGGACTTTATTCTAAGCAAATTGGAAACCATTGGAAGGTTTTGAGCAGAGGAATGACATCATCTGACTTAAGCTTTCAATAGGACCACACAGGGAGCTATCAGAAAGACCAGTTGGGAGACCGGCCATAACTAAGATAAGAGATGGTGGCTTGGTGATGGTGGAGCTAGTAAGAACATCTCTATTTTTTCAGATGTTGTGAAGATGAAGATAGCATTTACAAACTGCATAGTGTGTAGCACACACAGGAGGCCCTCAATAAATGAGAGCTACAAAATACCAATCCTGGGGGTCATACCTAGTTAGGAAGGCAAATAATTTCAGCACCAAGTGGTAAGTACCATGTTCCAGACAACTTAGAGCATAGAGGAGAGACACTTAAACCAAGCTGGGGGTTGGAAAGGCCAGGAAGGGTGAGTGACGGGACTGCTTTAGCAAAGGCAGGGGAAGAAGATTAGAAGGAATGTAGAACTGCTTAAAGTATCCACACCTCCCCAATTCAGATGACAATCAGATTACAGTTTATCCTTTAGTTTAGCAAAATAATCAGTGAGCTGAAGGAACAGTGACAATCTAATGACTCCATATGTTTATTAAATCATCTGGTAGGTTGTGGGTCTGTATGTTCCAGTTCAAATTCACTGGTAATTTTATGAATTCCATGGAGCCTCTGATTCTGATCAATCAGATGTAAAAACGCAAGCTGGTAAGGAGTTCAGAACTCGCTATGGAAAAAGGAGTTCTTAATCTGAGGCTCAAGCATGGACTTTAGGAGGTGACTCCCTTGAATGTATTTGCAGAATTAGGTGCATGTACGTGAGTTTGTCGGGTAGAATTAAGACAGAGGAGTCCACGGCTTTACCAGACTCTCAGAGAGGTTTGTGGCCCAAAGATTAACAGCACTGCTACTGAGTGTAAGAGTAGAAGGTAAAATTGGTCCAGAAGAACAGGCTATTTTATCTATTTTGTTTGCTATTTTATCATTAAAATATTTGGCAAAGTGATATTTTAATTCACACAAAATCAGTTAAAACACCACATTTTAAAGTGGATCCTTTATCATAAAGCTTTGATTATTTAATTCAAACATTAACTGTCCATTTGGACCCAGAGAGTGTTATTTCCAATTTAGGATTTTGACTATGTCAAGCTCCGCTGGTAAATGAGCTACAGTATAATACAAAATGCTTATAGGCAAAATTTACTTTATTGATCATGCCAGGATGAGACCTGGTGTCCCTCCCGTTGAATGTTTTTGCCTCTGGTTTGTGGTTGTTTACTGATGGTCCCCTGCATTTCCCTTATATTAAGCTGCTGAGTCTCCAAGTAACAAGTACTCTCTCAGGGCTTCCTCAGAGCCAGAGAAATAGGAATGTTTGTTGAAATTTTACTTTAGAAGCAGGAGTAATAGAAGTGAATTGCTCTGACCATCTCCCAGAGACTGGTTCAGGAATTCATTTTCTAGTCACATGTGGATGGTGATAATTTACTCACCTATTTTTGTCTGACAGTGGGCAATAGTTGGGTGAGTACTGTGTGGATTGTGATAATTCCCATTTCTTGAGCACAGGCTGTGGTCCAAACACTTTGTTAAGTGAATTATGAGTTAAGAATCCTTCCAACACCTAATGAGATAGGGACTTTTTCCCATTTTTTAAATACCAAGGCTCCGAGATATGTAACTAACTTGCCCGAGACCACATAGCTAGTGAGTTGGCGGAACCACTAAGGCAGAGAATTGGAAAATAAGATGTCTTGTGAAGGCTGAGTGAGCTGCAGTAAGAAAAGCAACTCTTTTCCTTATTTCACTGCCATTTTTCATTACATGGCATTTTCCAGTGCCACTGTGTCAAAACAGTGGACGAGAGGAAGAGTGTAGCAGTCAAGGACTGAAGAAAAGGGTGTAGAGGAATCAATTCATCTACTTAATTTATCTCAATGTATTTTAAAAATAGTGATGGGGGAAATGAGTTAACTTTTATTGAGTACCATGAACAAAACACAGTGCAAGGTACTTACACTATTGCATTGGCTCCTCAGAATAAGGCTCCTGAGGAGAGCATTATATTCCTATTTTTATAGATGAGAAAACCGAGGCTCGAAGAAATTGCTTAAGTTTCCCCAAGTCACATAGATAGATGGTACGATATGAACCAAGATCAGCCTCCAAAGCCTACTTAATTTCTATATCATAATGTAAAATTCACTTGAAAAGCTATTTACTGGGATTTAAGCTATTTGGGGCCAGAAATCATGTCATTAAATTTTGCCTGCTCCTTAGAACCTAATGAGTACCTTGTACCTTGTAGGTACTCAGGAACTGTTTGTGGGTTGGTCACACATCATAGTGGGTCGAAAACCAGAACATCAAAAGGCACAAGGATGTATCTTCTTTCCAAATATGGGGAAAAAAAATACTCCCTGTTTATTACAGGATACATTTTTCCTTGAGAGCAAAATTATAGAAAATTTCTAATAACCCCATGTGTATGGTTCAGAGGTTAGAACCTATACACATTATACAGTTTCCAAAAAATGCACCTTGTGTATATTATATCTGCATGATATTAATATCTTCAAGATGAACAATGACCAGATTAGTCTTGCTGGGGAAAAAAAGCAGCTTGGTATTTTAGAAATATGTGTGATATACAACATAGTCAAAACCCAACAACTACAAAGGATTTTAATGTATAAAATGTGTATTAGAAAATACTCAGGCACACGTGTAAATACTTAAGACACATGGCCTGACTCTCTCTGTGGTCCATGTGTGCATTTTTCAGCTCCTGGCTGATACCTCTTTCCTCAGCACCACAGGCTTCTTAGGCGTGTCTGTCGAGGGTTGAGAAGTGGTGCTGTCGGCTGAGGGTTATCTGATGATGGCATTGCTCTAGTATTCCAGTGTCACTGTCTTGGTTTTGAGATATTCATTTAGGGCTTCCTCACCTAGGGAAGATAAAAGCAGTTGATGGACCTCGTTCATAGGTGATGTGATATCACCAGACCTTTGGACACAGGTGTTATGTGTCAAGTCACTAAGAGAATAGAAGGTGGTGGCAGACTATGATTTGACTAAGTCTAGTGTAGGCCCCAAGATGATTCATTTCTAACCATCACCCAGTGATGCTGCTGCCCATGGTCCATGGACCACACTTGGAGGAGTAAGGGATTAGACCAGCTGTCAGGCCTTCGAAGGACCGGAGTGGTAACTTGGTCAGTCTCCACCCAAAATCTTTCCCCTTTACATTCCTGCTTGATTATAAACTCTGTCTCTATCCTTTGCCCATTTATAGGCTGAACAGAAGCGACTAAGATACTGTCCTTCAGATTACATAACATGGAGCAACACAGAGCAGAGGAAAGAAAGCTGAGGGCCTTTGGTACGATCTATTTGAAAAATAAGGGAAAGGCAGTTTTCCTGATGTACATAATATGTTGGAAACAGAGAAGAGTATATCCAGGCAAAAAATAATAAGTCTGCATTTTTGTTTCTCTTCTGTTTCTATTTTGAGCTAGTACAGGCATCAATTTAAACAGCAGTTAAAGGGCATGAATACTACAAGTTAAACTAAAGAGTATATGATTCTGGAAACTGAGCTAAAACAAGGGTTCTTAACCTTAAGTTATAATCACCTTGGGGAGCTTTTAAAGCTCCTAATCCCAGGTCATACCCCAGACCAATTAACTCTCCGTCTTTGTATTTTTTAAAGCTCCCAGGTGATTCTAATCGAAGGTGCAGCTGGGGCTGGGCACCACTGGACTAAAGGAGGTTAGAATTGCAAGGAAGAAAGTATCAGGCCAATTCTACTGTTTCATAATATAACAGAAACCTGAAGCTGGCTAATTATGGAGCCAGGAACACGGTTACCTTACTTTATAATAATAATTTCCCCAAGAAAATCTCCCACTGTGTTTTGGATCCAGGAATGAAAGCCAGATTGAAGCCATGTGAAAAAGAATGACTACTTTCAACTCAATGGAATGTAAAATGAGAACTATATTTTTTTCCTACAAATACATTGCCCAAAATCATCAGAAAAGAAAAATGTAAAAATACCCCGCATTAACCAAACTTATATTAGTGGGCTACGATTTCAGTAAATCACAAACATTTCCATTTTTGAGGCAACATGCCAGACTGAGTGTAGGCAGGAAGAACATGGGCTCCTTGGCCAGACTGCCTGGCTTTGAATTCTCTTTGCCAGTGGCTGCCTGTGCGACTTTGAGCAAGTCACCCACCCTCTCTGAGTCCCATTTTCCTCAGTGTAGGGGAAAAAATATGGATTTTCCTAAATCTGTAAGATAAGGATAATAATAGCACCCATCTCTCATGTCTATTGGGAGCATTGCTTGTGCTATTATAGGTCAAATAGTTGCAATAGGGCCTGGTATGTATTTAGGGTTCAAAGTTCAAAGCTGTTCCTTGAAATGTCATCATGACTGCCCACAATGAATTACATTTGGGGCTTCTTACGGTTCTTCTCTGAGTTCCCAGACACCCAGAAAAGCCTGCCAGTTCACAGAGCTGACTCTGCAAGACTGCCAAGCATCTCAGAGACAGGATTTATTCTTGAAGGTTATTGCCCTCTCCCCATTTCCCTGTTTTGGTTCCATTTTGTCCCATGAAAGATAAACCAAGCTTATGCCAAGTGGCAGGTAAAAGACCAAACATATTTTCTGCTGAAAGATCTTGTCAGTTTCCTTTTCTCTTCAACAACAATCTTCCTTTAAAAGGAAAGACTTTCCACGCAACGCGTGTACTTTCCTTCGTGTACCTTCTGTTGAACAAAAATAGTTTGACATTTAAAAAACATTAGTATCAGTACCCTTGTAAACTTCCGATCCAACTGCCCTTCTAAACAAGTGTTGGATGAAACACAAAGCTGACTCTTTTGTGATGTAACAACGAAGGACACAGTAACAAAGTACAGCCTTACCCAAGTCTTTTCCAAAGCCAGATTGTTTAACGCCACCAAAAGGAGCCGCCACATCCGTCTTGTTGTATGTGTTAATAAAAACAGTTCCTGCTTCTAGTTTTTCACTCACATACATAGCCTTATTTACGTCTCTGGTAAAAACCCCTGAGGCCAAACCATACTCTGTATTATTTGCTCGTTGCAACACTCCATCAATGTCTCTGCAAGAGGTTTTGAGGGAGACAAAACTTCATTAAATGTAAAGCAAAACATTCTCATTTTATGTCCTAATATTTTTCCCCTCCATGCCAGAAACAGGAAAACATTGCTGCCAATCTGCTTGAGTTTCTATCAGTGAAATATTTCAGGCTTACACCAAAACTCCCAATGAAATATTACAACTCTGGTATGGTATTTTTCATATCTATGCAACACCTTTAAAATCTGATCGTAAGTCATCTTTTCCATTTTTTTCATTGGTTCTCCTTCAAGACTTCTCAAGTCCTCCCCTCTCCCTTGAGTCCAGATATATTTTCAGCTCGATCCCTATTTCCCTCTAACTCTTTAGATGTTACACACACAGTTCAAGGCTCACGCAGTGCCTCATGCTGACCCTCCCAGCTCCCACGGGAGCCACTGTTGTGGCGTGGCGTGGAGTGCTCAGTGAGAGGTCTCTGCAGCCACACCGCCTGGGTGACCTTGGGCAAGGGAGTTCATATCCTTATGCCTTTGTATATTCTTGTGAAAAGTGGAAATGATAATAAAAGGACCTTTCTTCCTGTCATGAGGATTAAGTGAGTGAACAGTGCCTGGAACACAGTAAATGCTTACAAAAGTTAGCTCAATCAGGCAGCTGATTCCCCCTGACTCAGTAGTTTGGTTTAACTCTTCGTGTACTTGGGGTTCACCTCTCAACTAGACTGGAAGCTTCCCGAGAGCAGTGATCACATCTTATTCTTCTTTATATCGTGATGTTGCATCATCACATGAGAGCGAATTCACTTAATGTGCTAATTGAATAAAAGGAGAGTGAAATAATCTAAACCAGTCTGGTGATTTCCCTGCCCTTTGATTCAGTATGTGTACTGAAGGAAAGTAGAGGCACATGCCCAAGGAAGTAGAGGCACGAACCGGCTCATCTCTCAGTTGGGTCCACTTCCAACGTGCCTGTCATAGCGTGAGTATCTCACTTGTATGAGTGCCACTCTATTGTTTAAAAATACACAAATTTTCTACAACATGGCCAGTAAATGCAATCCAAATATTTCATCTGGTTCACTGGCTAAGAAACAGGATCACTTCCAAAACCAGAGAAAAAATTAGTTGTGCTGAATTATTTGAGAGAGGGCACAGGTTTCAATGTGGTGCCTTCCGCAGCGATTTTCAAAGGGAACCTTGACAATATACAATTTCAAGCTCACATGAGAAATTTGGCTAACTTGGCATAAACTGCGGTTCTGCTAACATTCTCACACTTCTTGATGCATTGCACATGGTTGGGACCCAAATATTTATTGACTGGACTAAGGCCAAAAGACGGCTTTTTGCTATTGCTTGCTGAGGACTGTGGAGATGACATAGCTTCACAGCACATCTTGACTATTTCTAGAATAATAATAGCTAATGACGGCAGTATCAATAGCGAACACTTGACTTATTTAACCTTAGAATGACCCAAAAAGATAGATACCATTAGTAACCTAATTTCACAAATAGCAAAATGTAGGCTTAAGATAATTAACTAACTGGCAGAGATAGGTGCAGAGGAGGGGAGACTCTACCCACTATGGCTGACTCTGGCCCTCTCTGGTTAATTGCCCATCTCCTTGTCTGTCTCCCCCATTAGACAGATGTATGCTCCTTAAGGACAGGAACTGTACTAATTAGGTTTATATCCCCCTAAACCTGCCTCCTGATATCTGCATATTTAACACAAAAACTATCCTATGGGGGAATTTATAATGAGAAAATAAAGGTAACGGCATTCTTCCATCAGTGGGTGAAAAGGTTATCCCCTACAGCTTAGTATCTTACAAATATGTCTATCAAAGACCAAGAAGTCCTTCTGAATTCTGTGTTTTATTTTTTTCCACCTTCTCACTGGTTGAAGGAAAACTGAGGTCAGAATTCTGAAGAAATTTGTGCAGTATACCCTGAGAATCTATTGATATTAAAAACCATATATGACCTCAGGTACCATGTGACCCTCTTTGATAGGCCGGATATTTTGGAAAATATATGGATACTACAACAAATCAGTATGATGCCATAGTTGGTTATAAGAATAAGGTGATTGTGGACATTTCCATAAGAACTTGAGTATTAGGTTTCTGGGGGCATAAGCACCTTTGAAGACAGGTACATTTTTGGGAGGGAAATCAGATTTCACACATGCTGCCTGAGGCATGTAAATGTGAAAACTGGTTCTGGTATTCTCAGCTATTTATTTTGTTCCAGAGACATTTCAAATGTCGACTGTACAAAAACTAAAATGTACTCAGCTAAGATCCATGATGTTAGCCATGAATTTAAATTAAGAAGCAAAAATATATTGCAATCTACATTGGTTGCCCCTCTCTTCCATTTATTTTAATTAAGCCAGTTATTCTTATGCTAGAGACATGCATGTTCATTGATCTTAGGTTTTGCATATTGCACAATGGCAGAAGGAAAAAAAACTTATCTAGTCAAAACCTGTTCATTTGTGTCTTTGGAACATACCCATTTTGGAATTTAGAAATGACCATAATAGGCCCAAACGATTCCTCTTTGGCAAGGTACATGTGGTCTTCCACATCTGTGAACACAGTAGGTTCCATAAAAAAGCCTGTTTGAAAAACATAAAGGAACATCAATTACAGTGTAAGTAATTTCACTTAATAGCCCTCTTAGTATCTAATCAAAATAATTAGGATTACATTATAATTTTTTCCTTCCTTTCTGGGTCAGTAAATTAAGAAGACTTTCATTTTCCTATGTGGCATTAGCACTTCTAGGTTATTTTTTAAATGTATTTACTACAACATTTTGAACAAATGCAAATGTAGAGAAAGTACTGTAATGAATAGTAAAATAAATATTAATTCCTATTTTTGTATTTGATTCATTTTTTTCCTTGCTGAAATCATTTAAAGCAGATTCCAGAGATGACAACTTTCACCTTCAAGTATTTCAGTACAAATCAGTTAAAAAAAAAAAAAGGCTATTTTCTTACATGCCACAATACATCATCACACCTAACAAAATTAATGCTAGTTCCTTATTCACGGTTTATATTTCCATGTTTGCCTAGAAAATATCTTTCTACAGTTGATTTGATTCAGGATTCAAATGAGTTCAACACACTGCATTTGATTGTTAGATCTCTTCTTAAGCGTCCTTTAATCTATTTCAATGCTTATCCCTGCCCGTTATTTTTCATGCCACTGACTTGCTAAACTGAGTCATCCTAAAGAGTATTTTGCACTTTGATTTGCATTGTGTTCTTGGGATGGTACCTAATTTGTTCTTCTATCCCCTGCATTTCTGGTAAATGCAAAGTTTGACCTAAGGACATGATCAGATTTGGACTGACCCTTTTGGCAAGAATACTTCACACATGATGCTGTGTGTCCTTGCTTTTACGGCTGCTGAGACTGACCAGTGGTTCCAAGTGGTAACAGCTGGACCCCTCCATTGGAAAGTTGTTCTCCTTATGTCTGCCACGCAATCTTGGGGGTGATACTTTGGTACCCTGCAAATACTCAGGTCCCCATCAACCTTTCCCCTAATAACTTTAGCCTTCCTTGCTGATCACTGCATAAATCAATTATTTCATCCAATCAGGGCTGCAAAATGGTGGTTTTTCTATCTTTTTTTTTTTTTTTGTACATTAATTAGCAGGGATTCTTCTGTTAAAAAAAAAAAAGAAGTTCCCTTCTCAGCTACTCAGTTACCTGGAAATTCAGTTTAAATGGGAAACATTGGATAAATCTTGAATGTTTTTCCTTCTAATTATTCCTTTTCAGTATAAGGCATTGGTGCACAACATACACACAGCAGTGAAAAATGCATCTCTGCAATTGTTGTCTGCTTTTCTCTCCTTTTGGGTATCATGACACAGAGCCATTCACATAGTTTAGGAACAGGTACTGCTTTAGACAATAGGAATGAATCCTTCCCATGCTCTGCTGGCTACGATGAAATCTCACAGTGCCAGGAACCAAGATTACCAGAGCCTGAACAGCACAGGTATCCATTACACTTGTTAACCATACAGCTAAGGGCCTGTCACAGCCACTTCGTTACTTGATTTTCACAGCCTTCTAAGGTAGGGTGTGCACATTTCATCCCATTTTACATAATAGGAAACAGGCTCTGAAAAATTGTCATGTCCAAGGTGCCACAGCTTATAAGTGGCTAAGTAGTATCTAGAAAATAATTCTTCTGATCATAACATAAATGCCACTATTTACTTTTGAGGCAAGATGGTGCCCCATTGAAAACTGTTACCATCCATTCCAACTTAAGAAGTCAGGGGCCCTGCATACCTCCTACGGAGGTGATCTTACCTGGCCTTTGGACTTGTCTTCCTCCATACACCAAGGTGGCCCCCTCTTTCACTCCAGCTTCACAGTATTGTAGGAGCTTTTCCAGGTGGGCTTTATGATTTTGGGGCCCGTGATCAGTGGATCTGTCAAGTGGATCACCAATTTTCATCTTTTTAATTTCTTCCACCTGTATGTCATCCAGTTCACAAAACATAATTGATTGTTAGTAATATAGTGGGTTCCCTTGACAGAATATCTACCATGTGGTGGGTGTTATACTGCACTGTCAAAAGATGTGTCATCTTCACAGTAGCGTTGGAGGTAGGTTTACTATTTCTGCCTTACAGATGAAGAAACTGAGGTGTAGGCTAAGGGACTTGTCCTCGAGCACACCACCACCATATACTAGAGTTTTCTTGACTCAAAAATCCAAGTTTTAACCACTGAGTTCTAACAGTACATAAATTACACACATTATATTAAAATTCTCCTGAATATTAGCCCACTACAATAGCAAACCTAATGGTCTGGAATTTTTGTTAACACAGCATACTTATGTGCTTCATGGCAAAAGGATTTCTAAAACAGCCACATTGTTATCTTTTTCTCTCCCCAAATGTGGCAGGCTGCCCTTGTAAAATTCTCACAATATAGCCATGCCCAAGGAATTGCTTGAATGTTCCGATGAAAAACCATTTCTATTTCACAGTGTTCATCACTGACATGTCTTTGCAATTGTCTGTTGTGAACATCAGTTACCTTAATCTTTTTCTGCATTTTCTAATGTTAAGTACAATTCTAGTGAGAACAAAGCATGAGAGTTCCTGTGACCCAGCAGGCCATGAATTTGAATTTAGGCCTGGCAATAATCGCTCAGTAAGTGCTCAAGAAACAGCTGTTGAATGAGTGAATGAATAAACACAAATCACCTAAGTGCAAAACAATCTGTTGATGGACTGGTACAATAAATCCCTGACATTTCTGGTCTCAGCATTTGAAATTTCAAAAAGATATAACTGTGAAAGCCCTTGACATATAATACTATAACTTGTTCATTACTGAGGCACAAATCGAATTACAGGGATGTTCAGGAGGCAGTTACTGCCCACCAGCTGCCTCTCCACGTGCCTCATTCTCCACTTTCATGAAGAAAGAATGCCTTTGCTTCTTGGAGGTGTGGTAGGGAAATTGGCTCTGAAAAAAAGAAGCTGGGGGCTGGGTTTTCAAATATACAAATTCATGATTACTGTACCACCATGACATTATGCAGTATAGTTTAGAGCTTATTTTAGCCACAGAATTAATTTTAATATTTGTCTAAATGGCTTTTAGTCCCATAGTTATAGAATCATGACCAATCTATAGGGGGTATCTGTCTATCCATCTATCATCTATCTATTTTAGTGGAGGAAATGATATGCTGTCCTGTTAACTGTGTATTGAGGATTTGCAAGGATTGAGTGGTGTAGCACTCATAATCAAGTTAGAGGTATATAAAAATCAAGGAATCTATCTTCCACAAGTGTCAAATCTATAATGTACTATAAGTAAAGAGCAAGGTATGGATAATGATGGTTTTCTTTATATAGACCTATAACTTTTTACTATGAAAAATTATAGACATATATAAAAGTAGACAATATAATGAACCTCATGTACCCATTACCCCAGCTTCAATAATTACCAACTCATGGCCAATTTACTCCCCTACTCACTTCTTCCCCTCTGGGTTATTTTGAAGCAAAGTCTAAACATTATATAAAGTGACCTGTAAATCTATATAACAAAGTAGCTCTCAAAGATTAAGGACTGTGTTGTTTTTAAAAAATACGTAACCATGGTACTAAACACTCATTACCAATGCCAGATGTACTTTCATGTAATTTCTATACAATTGGTTAGAATCAACTTTGAAGACATCTTACCACTCTTGTCACAAATTCATCGTGGATGGATTCTTCTACAAACAACCGGCCAGCTGCAATACAGTTCTCTCCTTTGTTGAAAAATACTGCTCCCATTCCCTTCGGCAGCAGAAGACAAAATATTGTTAACATTACTTGGGAAGTAAAGGTTGTCATAAAAATTGCACACACGGAGATTTACATGTTATTGGAAGACAGCAGACCACATAGAGAAGTCATAGGAAACAAAATCCCTTGGTGTAATTAGTGATATAAACTGCTTGGAGATATTCAGTTTTGATCGAGCGTGTTTTTTACAGATTTTGTTTCTTCTTTCCCCCTTTTGGTCCATGGGCCCTTTTCAAAAAAAATGTAACAATAAGTACATACCACTATGGACAAATTTTGTGTTGCAAGAAAATCTACATTGTCTTATACATTTATATGTAATACTTGTATGCCATACTGTGTTTTTAAAATCTCCACATCATTTGTATAAATCACGAATATTTAGAAAGATTCCCAAACCCCGAGGTTTAAAAATACCTTAGGGAGACAAATTACAGACATTATTTTAAAAATTAATTGCTCTGAGTATTCCCAAACCTAAACAGAAAGAGGATGGTTTGTATTTAAGACTAGAGAAAAACCAAATCTCACGTTAAGTCTTCTGATAAATAAGGAGATAAGATGTGTTTTAGAAGTAGGCACCTATTTAGCTGGATCTGATCCACTCTTACCATTCGCACAGCCTTGTCAAGTTCACAGTCACTGAATATTATAAGTGGGGACTTGCCTCCGAGTTCAAGGGAAACTTTCTTCAAGTTGCTCACAGCACAGCTAGAGGAAAAGAGATTGGAAATGACAGTTCTGTCTGTCTGTCTCCTTCTTGCTTTCTCTTGCCTTTTTAACCTTAAGTTACCACTTAGCATGGAAAACATACTGAGCCTTAGAAGTATTAATAAACTTACTAAAAGACAAAACGTGACTTGTAGAATGGTGATACCTGTTGAAGTTGGGTGAAGAGCATGTGGGAGTTCATTATGATATTCTGTGTGTTTTGTAGATACTAGAAATTTTCTATAATAAAAAAGTGTTTTGTTTTTTTTAATTCTGTGGTCAAAGGATTAGAGATCTTCATAGGTAAGTTCAGATTCTTTAGGTGTAAGAATTTTGTTTACATAAAGGCTTGCCAAGTAATTTAACCTCTAACCAGATTACAGGAACACTGGGGGAAAAATACCAATTTTTAGAAGTATATTGTGTATTTCCTCCTTCTTACAAAAGTAGTATTATTTAAAACATTAAAAAAATATCACTACAACTTCAGATAGGAGAGAAAAAAAATCACACAATTTCATTCCATGGCTTAATGACCAACTGTTTTTACCACTTTGACATATTTCTGGTTTGTGTCCAATCATAGCGTTTGCCTTATTTCACCTAGTTGGGATCACCCAACATATACAATTTTATACCTTATGTTTATTTCCATTTACCTTTTAACATGATTTTTCAATGTTATTAAAAATATAAAAAATGAACATGACTGTACAGTATTCTATTATGTTAACATACTTTAACCACTGCCTTATTTTGGACATTTAGATCATTTGCAGTTTTCAAAACTGATGTTAACTGTTTTTTAGGAATTCATTTTATATGTCATCCAGATTTGTCATTCTGTATGTCTTCTCAATTTCTTCTGCTTCCAAAATGATTTGGTTCACAGCTTTAGCACAGAAGATTTTTCGGTCTAGGTTGTCGTAGCTACCAGTAGGGTGTAGAATTTCAATACGGCTTTATTGACTCTGGGCTTTACACTTTGGAAAGTATTTTATTATATTTAAAAATTTCAAAACCTGCAGTGATAAGTAGATTTCTAAATTTGATGTGGTTTTTGTCCTCCCAAAAGCACCCTATTTAGAAAAATAAAAACAAAAACAAAAACCTGGCTTAACAGATCTGCAGCAAATCAACACATTAAAACCAATACCTTTTCATGATCTGCTTGCCAATAGAAGTGGAACCAGTGAAACCAAGTTTGCGGATATCAGGATGTTCAGAAAGGCGTTGTCCTGCTATGCCACCTGCAGAATTAGGGCAGAAAACATGGATTAAAACAATATGTAAGTTCATGTGGTGATGGTGGCTTTGAATTCATTGAGGTAAATTTATAGGCTCTCAGTTAAATGCTAGTTTGACATTTTCTATGTTAATTTCAAACTGACAAAAATGTAAGTAATGTCCTACATGAAACTGCCAGCCCCCCGAAAGATGGGTAAGCCTTTCCAAAGTTTTTCGATTTTCCAAAGTAACTTTAAAAAACTGAAATGGGCCACCTACGGTAGTTTTACAATGTTGTATGATTTCTGCCCTTCCCATCCCATTCACTGGCCATTATATTTCCGCTTTTAAGATTTTTAGTAGATAATAGTATACTTATCCTTAAGTCAACTGTTTGGTAAACTGTATTTAGTTTTAATAGAGTTATAAAACAGGGAAGATTCCAGTGGGAAAACAGTCATTCAGCTACCCCTGGACCATTCACTAGTTATAGCAAAGAGAGCCCTTTGATGGCTACCTGAGCCTGGAATGATGCTGATTGCCCCCTGTGATGGCTTACCTGAGCCTGGAATGATGTTGATCACCCCCTTTGGAAAGCCTGCTTTAACAGAGAGCTCTGCAAACTTCAAAGCACTCAAGGGCGTGACCTGCGCAGAAAGCCGACAGCAATTACCTTCTTCAGACTCTATCCTGTGCTTAGACCAATACTCTGTTTTCTCTTTATGCCCACACTAAAATTCATTTTAACTTTTCTTTTCTTTTGACATAATTTTAGACTTACAGCAATATCGCAAAAATAACAGAGACTTCTTATGTATCTGTTAGACTCCTCAAATGTTAACATATTACTACATTTGCTGTATCCCCTTTATCTTTTTCTGAACTGTTTAAGAGTAAGAAAGACATAGAGAGGCTTAATTTACCTCTAAATACTTCTGTGTGCCTTTCCTAAAAACAAAGAATTCTTTTCCATAACTGCAGCACAGTTACCAAAATCAGGAAATTAACAACCAATAGAAAGCCTGATTTACAGATCGTGTTGTTTTCACCAATTGTCCCAATAATGTGCTTTATGGAAAAAGAAAATCCAAGATCAAAATTGCCTTTGCTATCATGCCTGCAGTCCCCTGTATCTAGAAGACTTCTAAGTTCTCTTTCATATTTCATTGCACTGACATTTTTGATAACTACAGGCCAGTTCTTTGGGACCATGTCCCTCCATCTGGACTTGCCTGCTGATTGGCTATGGTTAGACTCAGGTTATGCAGTTTTGGCAAGAACACCACAGGAGTGAGGCTGAGTTCTCATGTATCATGTCAAAGGCAAGTCTGATATGGAATAGTCCCAGTATGGAAAATGCTGAAGTCGATCATTTGGTAAAGGTGGTCTGCCAGGTTCCATCACTGTGAGTTACTATCTTATACTTGGTAATTTGTATATATTTTGTAGAAAGGTACTCTTAGACTATTTAAACATTAAGTTACTATGCAAACTTCCATCCACTGGTTTTAGTATCCATTGATGACTCCTGCCTGAATCAATGATTACTAGGATGGCTGCTAAATGGTGATTTTTCTATCATTCCTTCTACTGTCTCAGTTGGCTTCCACTATAAAAGCTTTAACCTCATTAATTAATTAATCAATCCATGTGAACTCATGGATTCTTATCTTATTCAGTATGTTATAATATTTTACTTTTACCATTTCTTTTAATGTTCAAATTGATACAGATTTGGCTGATGGGAGTCCCTTTGTATGGTTCCTGTATCTTTCTGAGAGGTTCCTATCATTTTTTGAGCATTTCCTTGATTTTTAGCCCCAAAAAGATGTTCCAGCCATTTCTTCAAGGAGTCCAGGCTTCTTTTAGTGAAGAAGGGTAATTTAAAACTGTGACATAAAGGGAAATGTATATTTGGTCTTTGTCTCCAGTTCCTGGCACACAGTAGTTAAAATTCTTGGAACGCTAGAATGAAAAGTGTCTTTTGTATACTAATGAAATGACTGGTAGCTGGGCCCCTGAGTAGCTTCAGGGTGGGGTCTGCTCACCAGAAAGACCAAGTCATAATTAGAAGATTGGAACTTTCAGCCCATCTTAGGGATGGAGGTAGGGACAGAGGTTAAGTCCAATCACCAGCAGCCCATGATTTAATCAATCATGCCTGAGCAATGAAACCTCCATAAAAACAATGGAATTCAGAGAGCTTCTGGGTTGGTGACTGCATCTGTGTGATGGGAGGGTGGAGCACCCAACCTCCACAGAGTTGAAACCTTTCCTATGTACATCTTTATCTAACTGTTATTTGTATTCTTTGTAATGATATCCTTTACACTAAATTGACAATAGTAAGTAAAGTGCCTTCCTAAGTTTTGTGAGCCATTCTAGCAAATTATTGCACCTGAGGAGTGGGTCGTGGAAACCTCAGATCGGTAGCTGGTTGATCAGAAGTCTAGGAGGCCCAGGGCTTCAAACTGGCATCTGAAGTGGGGGCAGTCTTGTGGACTGATCCCTTTACCTGTAGGGTTTATGCTAAAACTCCAGATAGTTACTGTTGGATTTGAACTGAATTGTAGCATATCCAGTTGGTGTCTGGAGAATTTGAGAACAGGTTGATACGGGGAAAAAAACACACACACTTGGTGTCAAAAGTGTCAGAAACAAAATGATTTCAGAATTTTAGAAACCAAGGCCTGGACTCTATTGAAATGTCATTACTCTATGCTCTCTCAGTAGACTGGGCTGGGAAATAGATGTGTGTATAAAAAAGACATGTAAACACACATCTATCTCTTTCTCTACCTATTGCCACATGTCCATTTCTTTTATCGACCTACCTAAATATATTAAAACCCATGAGTTTACACCAATGCCTCTATTCAGTGTCTCAGGGTTCATCCAATCCTTCCCCCTTTTCGTGTTTGACTCTTCTCCAAGAGTGAGAAACATGGCTCCCAATATCCACGATATGTTTACTTATTTGCTCAATCCTAAAATGTACAGAAAGTAATTTGAGCATTATTAAGCCATGTTCCTATGACAAAGAAGCTTATTAATTAGAGTTCAATGTTTATTTGCAGGGCTTTTGGCTTTAGTCTGAGGGCATATAGTCCAAATGTCAGTCAAAACTTACTTGGGTGAGTGCTTCGCCACTCCCTTCTGCACAGTAATGTCACTTATTGGAAATATGGTTGAATCAATTTGTTTTTGTTAGTATCCAGGTTTAGGGTTTTTGCACTGTCTGGCTTGATCATATCTTCTGTGTTTGTTTGTTGTCATTGGGAGTATGGGAAGCAGGTTTCCCAAAGTGAGGACCAAACACAGGTATGCTAGGGGAAGTGTTGTCCTCCTGTCTCTCTCCCTCTGTCCCTTCTGCCCCAGCTCCCTAGGTGTACAATACACCACTGTTAACTACAGGCAAAATGATGCACAGCCGAGCTCTAGAACTTAATGCATCTTGTGCAACAGAAACCTTACGCAATTTGTTTTAATTAGCAATTTCTCATATCCCCTTCCCTTCCTCTTTCTTTTTTTCTAATGGGTTAGAAAGTGTGTGTGTGTGTGTGTGTGTGTGTGTGTACAGAGAAGATCTGTGGAATACCTAGGAAACTAATAACAATTAGTAACATTTGTTGCTTTTGGGGAGGTAGATTGGGGTAAATGAGGCTAGAAGGGAGACTTTTCACTCCCTCATGGTATGTTTTGAATTCTAAAATTTTTGATGGCATACCTATTTTTTTAATGAAATTGTTTCTAGTGAGTAAAACAAGACGACTATGTAGTTAAGCCAAATGCAACTGTATTTTTCTTAAGTCTTAAGAAGAAATAAAAAGGGAGTTCATCAGTAACAAAGTGTAAACTCTTCTAAAATAGAGCCCAAGTTTTCTTCATGACTTGTGTACCTCAGAATGTCTACTACTGTACACTGTACATAGTAAATGTTCAGCCAAATATTAAGTCAGTCCCTATATTTTTTCTTGAAAATCTATTGCATCATTAAAAGATTTTTTTGAGGACTCTGTCACCTGAATTATTATGTTTTATTTCCTTATCCATATGTATATATATTTTCACAAACTTGCCACAATTATGGACATTTTTGGCATGCTTTTTCCTCATCTTCCATATCTTTACTATATTTTTAATCATTAGAATTTGAATGCCTGTATAATACTTTTTCCTCTGATGTCTAATAATTTAGTTAAATTATTCCCTAATTATTGGGCATTTTGCATTTTGCAAGAATTGAACTGGCTTGTAGAAATTCAGTGAATTTCACTGACCTACACTAGGCTTACCTCCACTGTCATGGGAGATTCCAATTGTGGAATCTCCATTGGATGCATTAGGTAGCTATTAAAAATGAATATTTACCAATAAGAAAAGATGCCCATGACAGATGAAAAGATGTCATAATAATACAATCTTGTTTTTGTTAGAGACATAATATTTATACATGTATGTCATTCTTAAGCAAATAGGAGAGGAGGAGATTTTGCCCCGGGCCCTTTGTGTCTTACCTGTGCTGGCTTGAGCACTAACGTATTGCCTGCTGCCAAGCATGCGGCACTCTTCCATGCCAGCATCATCAGCGGGTAATTCCAGGGGATGATAATAGCACAGACACTGCAGCGACAGAAAGACCACATCCTTAGTTGTCTCCAAGTAACGCAGTTTGCACAGCCACTCAGAGGCACTCTCCTTGTCTTACCCAAGCGGCTCCTTCTTGGTGAAGGTCAGATTACGATTTGGACGAGCTTGGTTGATTGGAATTGTAGAACCCTAAGAATAAAAAAGGTCAGTAATTTAGACGAGTAAATTTAATCTCAAAGAACCCATTTTCTGCCCACCTCTCTTAATTTTTCTTAGCTGACATGAAAAGGCAGAATTTAATTTGTAAGAGATATATCCATGCTGAAACGAAAACAAAAACAACCCTGCTATTTCTTTCTTGAAAGAAACTGAGACATAGGAGAAGAAACGTAATTCTAATTTAGTCATCTCTATTCCCAATTTCTTGGCATGGCAGAGAATGTTAATTGCCTGCCCGATGTCCACTCTTCCCTCTGTATTTAGTGAAAGAAACCGTATGTTAATAATGGTGACAGCAATGTGCCCAGATAAATACTATGTTTGTCAGTTTCCATATCAGACAAGGATGGTCAATGGAAAAATGTAAGCACAAGGCACTGGCAGGGAAATGTGCTTCAAAGTAGTCTGACTCAGCTCTAATAAATGATCTTTTACCCTTCCCCCTACTCCTGGAGGAGAACTGGAGGAGAAAGTGGTCGGGGATTTGATTCCCCCAACTCTTCCTTCTTCCTGCTCAGAATGTTGCTGAAATGGCTGGTGCTGCAGTGATTATCATGAGACCATGAGACAGCCTTGAGGGTAGAGATCACATGGTAATAAGGATGGCCTGGCAGAGAGAGAAAGAAGGAGTCTGCCTCTTATGTACTAGCCCTGACTGCTTGCCTTTGGACTCCTTGAAATTTGGACAAAAGCAAACTTCTTGCTTAGGTTTTCCATTAGACGCAGCCAAACTTAATCCCAACTGATTGATGACAACAGTCTTTACCTGAAGCTATTCATTTGTCTTGCCACATAAAATATTAGTGCTGTTTCTAATTACAAGTGTACAGTCTCTTATCTGAAACCTTTGGAGCCAGGTATGTTTTGGGATTCAGAATTTTTTGGACCTTAGAAACATAATATAATGTATATACTTATATTATGTCACATGATCTATAATTCCCTGTAGGGTCTGAGGCAGTGCACCCATAATCAAACACATTAATATTTATTCAGCAAAACATATGAATGTTCACTGTAAGTTATATAAATAGACTCACATTGGTTCAGGTCAGGTTTTGGCAACAAATGAGTCTGAACCACTTAACCCATCAATTCTCAGGTTTCAGGGATATTTGGATTTCAGAGAATAAAGCATAGACCTGAATCACCACTACTAATTGCTTATACATGTATGGCTTTATGGCTGAACAATAATAAAAACTACATTTGTGTGCCAGACCTACTCTGTTACAGACTGGTCTAATTCTGTAGTACATAAACACCTGTTTCTAATCCTCATTGCATAACTTGCAAGGCTATGTATTGTTGTGACCTATTTCCAGATGAGGTAAGTAGTGGTCAGAGAGTAACATACCTTTAACAACATCAGCTGGTAAGTGGCAAAGCTGGCAATTGGACTCTGTATTAATAGTGGTGGCACCAATGTGCCCAGATAAAATACTAGGTTTCCCGGTCTCCTTGGCAGATAGAGTTGCCCAATAGAAGATATACACGTAGGCAATGGGAGGGTGGGAATGCTTTTTCAAGCCCTTTTATCTTTCAAGCCCTTTATTCCCCCTTCCTCACTTCCTCCTTCTTGCTCCTGATAACATGGCTGTGATGGTTGATATCATGAGTCTGTGAATGGCATGCATTCTGATGCTTGTTATAAAAAGTAAAAAGAAGTATTTATTGCACCCCTGTCTTAAAATTTTTTTTTCTTATACCCAGCCTGCTTAGCCCATCTGTTAGCTCTCTGGCCTCTGTGGGCATTTGAGTTTGCAGTATCCCCATGATACCAGGCTTCTCCCTGTATGTTCAGAAGACTATTAGGTCCCCTCTAATAGTAATGTACAAAACATCATTAGAATTTAGTTCAGAAAATCTTGAGTTCAAATCCTAGTTCCATGGTTTACTTACCATGTGACTATAGGCAAGGCATTTACCATTCTCAAGCCTGTCTCCTTACCTGTAATAAAGGATAATAGCTACCCACCTACTTTAGATTGAGTATTATAAGGATTATATGATAAAATGTACATAAGAGATAGCTCTAAACAGTGTCCATACAGTCTAATAAACAGTCTTCCCTTTTCTTCTTGGAGACAAATAACATTTGCATTTACCTGAATTTTATCACACCAGCCAGCAAAATATCTGAATGTTTGCACAGACATTCCAATGTGAGTCTTCAAGGCCAGAGTATAGACGGCCCCTGAATCGAGGGCTTCAATGGTTGCCAGCTCCTCTTGGTTTTCTTCCAGTAAGTCTGCAAGTCTGTACGGTCAGTGAAAGAAGTTCATTCAGCAAATATTGACTGAGGCCTAATTATGTATAAGGCACCAACTGAAGGGCTGAGAACTCAGAGGTGAACATAATGGACCAGGTCTCTGTCCTCACAGAGACTATAGTCCATCAGGGAAGACAGACATTCAACAAATAATTTCACAGTTTGTTCCAAGAGTTACAAAGGAGAGGCAGAAGGTGTTGGAAGCCTGTGCAGTTTGCCTGATAAATGTATAAGCAGCAGAAGAGTGACGGAGCCCCAGTGATCCAGGGAAATCAACGACAGAAAAGAGCGGGAATCTGGCCAGGTCGTGGATGTACAGGGAGATGAGAGCGTACAGCCCACACCCTTTGAGAACCTATGAACTCCTGAGGATTTCTGGTTGGAACAGAAATATTTCCAGGACTAACTGAAGAAGACAAGATAGAAATAAATCTGAGACTGTCTAATGACTATAAAATAGTCCAAACTCATCTTTTGTGTTCACCTCCACCATTTGGTTTCCTTCCTCCCTTTAACTTTCTTACGGTCGGGCTTGAAATCCCCCTCCCCCAGGGTTTCTTTCAGTTCCTGCTCTAAGAGCTGGTTTGACCAAGGTCAGCTGTGTGGCTTTAGGTAAACAGAACACTGCGTTTATCCTTGAATTTAATTGCTCTTGCACGCTCAGTTACCAACTGGTAGTGACCTTTCCAGATCTCAGCCTTTTTCTCCTCTCTCCTACCCCCTACACACAAGTAGATTTAAAATCTGTCTTTGAAGACAACAGAGAGCCGCATAGTCTCCATTTGCGGCCCTGTCTCCATTCTCCACCCTGCTCCGTGACCTGGGAGGATGACCTTTACAGACTATATGACTTGGCTCCTGTCTCTCTCTCTGGGCTTAACAAATGAGAGGACAACAGGTGGCACCTCCAGGAGATTGGAGAACCGGAGGAGAAAGTGGTCGGGGATTCGATTCCCCCAACTCTAGCAGCAGCTGTGTGTCTTCACCAAGAACCACTGTAGGGTGGTCTTCTATAGCTACAGCTTTGGCCAGATTCTAGTAAGAGCCCCTTCCTCTGTCCCTTCAGACCTTGGAGCAGCAACAGCCTTCTCCTACTGCTACCCTTGCTTGGGTACCTCATTATCCCTTACCTTGCCCGTATCTGCATCCATTGCAAACAATTCTTGATGAAACTTATTTTCCTTCCAGGATGCTGACTGACGCAAGCAGTAATCCGAAATTCAGGAGCTCACATATATGGGATTTTACATGACGTAAGTAACAGAAGACATATTCTGTAACAAGCTCATACTAGAATGTCTAGAAGAAAGTTTAAAAGTCTTGGCACTGTTAGCCAATATCCAAAGGTACCGGACTTACGGTTTAAAAAAAAAAAAACACACCTGTACATCAATCTTCCTCTTTCTCTTGCATTCATTCTTCCCCATTCACCATTTTCAAAAGCATTTTTTGCTGCTGCAACCGCTTTGTCAACATCCACCAAGGAAGCGTAGGATACTTTGCATATTGTCTATTTTAAGATAAGTAAGAATAGGTTATAAGTTATTTATATGGAGATATGTAAATAGGCTTCTTGGAATCAAAATTATATTAATAGGAAAAATAGAGTATTATAAAATCCAAAGAATGTTATGATTGAAAATTAATATGACCAGTAATGCAGTAGAGAAGAATTTTAACATGAAAATTCTGAGCCTGAAATTTGGTACTCCTGTCATACTACACTATGGAAAGACACATTTAGGGAGAACATACCTCTTCTTTCTGGTGCCTTAGGAAGGCTAGACTACTTGCCATGAGCTTTCAAGGTCTGAAAAGTTTGTCCATGTATAGCTTTATGTGGAGGTGTGCCTCTGATGTGTAGAGGTATAGCTGTCTGTCTAAATTCATCATAAATATTCATTCTATAAATGGGTTCCTGTAGTTAACAGGGGCCAGTACCAGCATTGAATAGTTGAAAGAAATGCATGAAGTATATTTATATTAGTGCTTGGAGGCAGAGTGACAGAATAAAGTAACCTCTTAAGACCATCTGGTTTACAACTGTGTACATATTAACAATCCATAAGCGGTGGTGACTATGCACCCTAGATAATGACTCACAGATCCGTCTGTTGGGTTGATTGTGTCGTAAGTCTTCCCATCATCAGCATCTGTGAACTGTCCGTTTATGAAACACTGATGAGGCATTTTTACTTTCATTTCATTGACCTCCTTTAAAACCTAAGAGAGAGAATTATATTAAGAGATTCAATAGATTTCTGTGCTTCCCCATCTAATACCGCTGAGCAACAAAGAAGCTTAACCACTAATGCAGCAGCAGAAGTTAAGTCTACGGGATTCTAGCTCCTACTGTCCAGAGACAAGCGTTAAGTAAGAGTTGAGCCTCACGATGCTCAGCTTGGCCAGTGAGGCAGGAGGTTAGCATCTGTGATGACAGAAAAGTACCCTAGGCTTGGCCTTATTAAGATCCCAGATTTTCTTCCTTACAGGGTGATAGTGAACGCAGACCTCGAGACAATGAAAGCAGCACCGTCTCGTGGCAACAGCTATGCAGCACAGCCAATGCTTTCACTTAAATCTTTGAAACTGCCTTTGTCAACAGGTTTCCTTTTTTTACACTGGGGTCATTTTAACTTTTCTTTCCTTAAATTCCTCCCTATTTTCGCTTTGTCTTACATATGTGTTGCCTAAGTCCATCCTCTGCCATTAGCCAGCAAGCAAATGTTATGTTAGGTCATTAACGTCTATGAACCTTAGTTTTTATCAACAATAAAATGAAGATAATGAAACCTGCTTCATACAGTTATTATGAAGAATAATTAAAATAATATACGTGAAAGAGCACTGTTGGAATAAAATTTCATGTCAGTACAAGGTATTAAGGGGGAAATTTAATGATTCAAAAATCATTTCATATGGAGAAATGGCTGATGCTTAAGAACAAAACAAATGAAAAATAGGAAGAGGGTATCTTATCTTGTCCCACAGTTTTCATGCTCTATCAAACATTTCCATTGTGTTTATGGAGGATATAATAAAGGAAAGTTCACCTGAATTGCTGTGTCCAGTCTCTCTGCTTATAAGTCCACTTTCCTAAGCTCCTCATTCTGGGTGTATGCTAAGTGATTTACATCTATCATCTAACTTGATTCTTCCAACAATTCTATGAGGTAGATATTATTATTGTCCCATTTAAAATATGAGGAAACTGAGACTTAGAGATGCTAAGTAACTTGCCAACGATCACACAATTAGAAAGCAATACTACTCGGATTCAAACTTAAGTTGGTCTGACTTCAAAATGTATGTTCTTAACCAGATGAGGTTAAATTGCTTTCCGAGTTTACCTGAGTTTTATTAAAAACTTCTGAAACAGTAGATGAAGGAACCCTGAAAACCTGCTCCTTCATAATAGCAACAAGAATGTTAGAAAATGTTGTCAAAATAATCTTTTCAATTATTCAGAAAATTACCCAAAGGCTTGAAAGAATCTATTTATTCTGGACAAACAGCTGAATATCTGTAAGAGCAGTGAGTTTCATTAATTATAAAATGTAAAATGGAAAGTGGTATAGCTGCTTTGGAAAACAATTTCATAGTTCCTCAAAAAGTTAAATTACCATATGACTCATCAGTTCCACTTCTGAATATTTAGCCATGAGAACTGAAAACATATGTTCAGAAAAAGCTTACACATGAATTTTTATAGCTGTATTATTCATAATAGCCAAAAAGTAGAAATAACCTAAATGTATATTAACTGAGGAATGGATAAACACAATGTGGTCTATCCATACAATGAAATATTATTGTCCAGAAATAGGATGAAGTGGTACACATTACAATATGGATGAACCCAAAACATTATGCTAAGGAAAAGATGCCAGATGCAAAAGGCCATGCATTACATGATTCTATTGCACAAATGTCTAGAAAGAGAAGGGAATGAATATATGTGTTTGATCATGGAAACCAACCAAAACAGATGAAGAAGTCCACAGATTCAGAAAGCACATCGGTGGTTTCTGGGGCAGGGGTGGGAGAGCAAAGAATAACTGTCAATGGATATGGGATTTCTTTGAGGAGGACAAAAATGTTCCACAGTCAGGCAGTGGTGGTGGTTGTCCAGCTCTGCGACTGTACTTACACCCACTGAACTGTACATTGTACAGGCATGAATTTTACAGTATCTGAATTATATCTCAAAAACCGTTATTTCACTGAAGAGGTTATAAATGTAGGAAGGAACAAATGCAAGGACCAGCGTCCTTTCCTAGTGCATGGATCGGGTGGACTCGGGGGGTAAACCGCGTGGAAGCTTACATGATCCACTACCAGCTCTGCCTCTTCATCTTCTCCTCTCCGTTTCCTCACGACTTTTTGGATGAAGTCTTCAAACTTGGTGGCCATATAGACATCTTCATTCTGTAGCTGGAGCCCACCGCATTTCTGTCTGATCTCTTCAACCAGCCTTCAAGTAAGAACCAGCTCATGTTACATTTTTAAAGGGTTTAGGGGGACTGTATTTGTCAAACAGCTTTGAAGTAAGACTTATGTCACATGCCTATTTATATCCTAGGAGATCTTTTATGATACTAATCAAAGAAATTGATAAGGCTGGAGAAAAAAATTAAAAAGCTGTCTCGAAGGACACCGGCAATTTTTCTTTGTTTGTTTTAAACTTTGTACATGACTGAAAAAAAAAGAAAAACCTAAGCAAAACCATTTTACTCACTTGTAAGCAAGGCGATAGGGGCACATAAAATAAGTTCCTTTCCTTTCAAAGGTACACAAGAAATAAGAAATAAAGGAAGTGTCTTAACTGTACAGATTATGAGAAACAATAGTCATACTGTAGAGTATTTTCTCTCAATCATGTATAAGAATAAAACAAACATTTGTTTGTCTGATGTGGTTAATGTAGGTACTAGCTAGAACCATGCTGGATATAATTTTTGAAATCCTTTCTAATCTTTTCATTTTTCACTGTTAATTTTTCAAATTATCGCTGTTACTTGACATTTCTTGAATAGCACTGGTCTGCCACATACAGTATAGAAAGATTACCACAGTTGTTCAGGCATTTATTCTCTAAAGGAGATGGTAGTTCGAGAGAATAAACATCAAATGATTACGGTAATTCAGACACTCAAACAGGAAATGGGTAATTATTGCAAGGGTATCTTGCTAGCAAAAAATAGTATTAGCAGTATTGAAATCTTTTGCTGAGCAGATTAGAATTTTCTAGAAATTCACAAATCATAGCTGAGAAATTTGTTATTTGGAGACCCAAAACTCTGATAATATTCTTTGCTTTTGAAATGACTGTTTTGATTACTGGAATAAAAGCTCTGTGAATGAAGGAACTTTTATATCATTCACAACAATATTCCCAGTGCTAAAATTAGTCCTGATATGTAGTAAATGTTCAATAAATGTTGTGGAATAAGTGAGTAAACAAATGAACAGAATATTGATCAAGAACACTTGCTTTGCCAGCATGAGGGGCTATGACAAGAGGACTAACATTCTTTATCTTGTTTAGTTAGCGAGTGCTTTCTAGGGTTCTGGCCCCTTTCCCTTGCTGCAAACCTCTGGAGGGAAATTCTGACTATAAGGTATTAGCCTTGGTAGGAGCCTGGTAATCCTCATTCTAGATATATCTTACAGGGTAGTTTGGTGGGGTAGGAAAAAATATTTGTGGGGGTAGTGTGATCAATGTCAGGTACCCTCCTCGATCCGACTATAGCAGAAATTCCTGATTAACATTCTCACCCAGAGCTTCCCAATTCCAGTGTCATATTGGAGGAAAATCAGCTCAGAAATGTGAGCACAAATCTTCAAAGAAATTAACAATTAGAAGGGTTGGTTTTCTAGGTATTTAGGATATAAGAAAACAACTCCTGGTTAGTAACAAAGAGAAGGGAACGAATATATATGTTTGATCATGGAGACAAACCAAAACAGATGAAGAAAAGAGAAATACAGTAGATGGATATGCAAGAGAGGTAACATTGAGAACAAGGGATTTGGATTTGATTTTCAAAGTCAAAGTCAAAATGCCTAGTGCTCCGGTGGGAGCTGGTATGGCGGTGGTTTTACCTGACAACATCCATTGAGCGTGCTCCGGATTTAAAGAAGTCTGTTGAGTCTTCAATAACAGGGATGTTGCTTAAAATTCCAGCCCAGATGACCTACACAACAAGGGTAACTTTGACGAGGGATGTGCCATGAGGAACACAGTGGCAGAGACTGGCTAGCTCCTCATCAAACCTATTTCTTCTTCATCTTGGATACATGGCTTGACAACATTTCTCAGCGTCTCTTTGAGTTAGATGCAGCCATGTGACTGACGTCTGGCCAATGAGTATGAGCGGAAGTACCTGCACTAGTGGTCTTGGCCCAGGAGGAGCCTCCCTCACATACTTCTCTGTGCTCTCTTGTCCTTCCTGGCTGTCTGCAGTGGAGATGACCCCCAGTGACCTTGAAGATAGCAGAGGCTGGGTACCTGAGTGACTCTACCCCTAATCCTCATGATCCAGCTTCACCTCCAGCCCCCATGCTAACCTAGAACTGCCTTGGATTATTTCATTAGTGAGAAATAAATTTGCATATACAGTTTGGGGTTGATATCCTATCGCAGCTAATCAAAAGAGTAAATTTCCATCCCCATTACGTTGAGGACTGCTGGATACAAAAATGTTTCTGTTTTCCAAGGTAAGAGTAATATTAAGGACACCATGCGCTCACCTTGATGGTCTCCGCCACCTTCACCTCTTCGGCTGTAAGTTCTACCGTGGATGTCTCACCTGCTGAAAAGTACTGAGAGGCAGGAATCATTTTCCCATCTTCAAACTGCAGATTTCTCACCATCAGCTACAGATTGCAACAAAACAGGCAGACTAATTGAGGATTAGGACAATTCAAAAGTGAGGTAGCAGGGTAGGAAATCACACTTTATATGGACATAAGGACCAGCTTATTTGGCAAATACAAAACTATGAGCTCAAAGCTCTCACCATTACGTGTACAAGGGCTGAAATGGTATTTTAATAATGGCAGCAGAAAGGGGAAAGTTAAGTGTAGGGGTAGATACATCTCAAAATAGATAATTAGCCCTTGAAAATTTGACATTTGGATGTGGGTATTTGGACTAAAACTTCCTATAACCACTACCGCTCTGGCTCCTGCTGCTACTGCCCCCATCTGAAGACTTACACAGTAGCGTGCACAGGGCTAAGTACCCATGCATGTGACAAAGTATCTTACTTGATCTTATAAATCCTACTGGAAGCAGGGGCCATTGTTATTTCTGTGTCACTGATGAGGAAATGGAGGCTCAATGAGCTAACTAATCGCTAATAGCCACACAGCCAGTAAGGACCAGAGCATTACAACCCAGAACTAACTGGACCCTGAAGCCTTAATAACTTATCTGTCCCGCAAGCTACCGAAAGTACATGTAAGCAGCAAATTCCCTTTTGCTTTCTTCACTGGGAAGCTGCCCAGGAGCCCATGGAGGCCCAGAGCCCACACTCCCAAGCACAGGCAGTGTGGGAGGGTCCCTGCCTGTGAGGGAGAGGCAAGGAGCTTCTAAAGAGGGTCACATCCGTCTCATTTATCCTCTTTGCCTCTGGCAGTGGGAAGGCAGGCAGGCAGATGGGATTGCTCTCTGCTTTATAAATGGGGAGACTGAGATCAGGGGGTAGAGGTACCCAAGAACAGTAAGTAGCAGAACAGTCATTCACATCCTGTTCCTGATGAAATTCCAAACTCTTTCTACCGTATCACAAAGCAGACTATGGCCGTCCTTGGGGCCCATCCTGGGGAGCCTTGTTATCCACACGTGTAGAGCCAGCTCATCCCCAGAGAGGAATAGGGCACAGATATCTTGACCCTCCTGCATTCCACTGCAGAGCCAGATTACCTTGTGAAAGATACTCCCTTAATAACTTGGGTTACAGAAGATAATCAAAGAAGTTATTTCTTAGGCGATTATATCGAACACTCACTGCTTTTCCATCATTACCAAAAAGAACAAGTCCATTTTTGGTAACAAGACCAGGCTTCTTGGCGCCTTTGATTTCCAGTGGTTCTCCAGGAGGCACAGAGCTGCTCAGTAATGATGAGCCATAGAGCGTGACCATCTAAGAAGGAGATCAAACCCAGATTGTGCAATGAGGAAGTCACCCTTACAAACGGGGGTGTGTGCTAGCAGCCCTCCCTGCAGAAAAGGTGGAACTGTCCTTTATGATCAACCCAGAACACCCCAGTATGAGAGACTGTATCAAACATCTGCAGAAATGACACAAAGCAAGAGACAGTCTATGAATGCATGAATGGTTTCAAAAATGCCCTATATCCAGATGAGTCCACATTTATCATTTATTTATATTGATAAAAATGTCAATGAGATGAAAAGCTCTCACAGACTTGTCTGAAGGTAGGGTTTTCGAGGGGAGGGGAGGTGTTGGTGAGGGTCAGTAGGCAGATGCAAAGTCGTAAACAGACTACTACACCGCAGTGGGATTACTGATGGAAGTAGAAGGCGTTTTGTGAGTTCATGGAACCAGGAGTGGGTCCAGACTCTAACCAAGAAAACTTGATACTGATTGATTGGTTTTTATAATTCTTTGATTATAACCTTTTGTTTTTTTGAGCACTATGATAGTTAACATATATTGAATACTTATTCTATGCCAGGGACTAAGTACTTAAAATTATCAGTTTTTAACTCATTTAATCTTCACAATAATCCAAAACCTATAGAGGAGACATTATTATTATTCCCATTTTAAAATAGGGAACTCAAGGCACCCAGTGGTTAAGTAAACCACCCAAGGTTACACAGCAGAGAGCAGAGTCAGAATTTTAATGGAAAAATTTTGGCCTCAGGTCCCACACTCTTAACCACTGCACTAATCTTCCTTTCTTGGTCCTTCATCACGCACATTTTTATTAGCACCTAAAACATACTAAGAACCTGGCTCCAGTGCAGAGATGATGAAGGCAGTAACATGGTGCCTTGCCCCTAAGGGGTTCACAGTCTAGTGGGGGAGGAGGGATAAACAGTTTAAAAAAAAACCCTTACAACATACAATATGCTGTATCAGAGGTCGGCGGGCACTGTGGGAACAGAGAGGAAGGCTACACAACCCTAACAGGCTGGGCGCGTGAGGTCAGGAAGCCTCCTGGAAGAGGTGAGTTGAGTGGATTCCCCAGGGATTAGAAGGCGGTTCCTGCTCCTGCCCCCGCCCTCCTCCCTCCCACACCTCTCACACCTGCTCCTCACACCCTAGGCTCTCCCCTGAATTCTTCTGCCAGTCCTAGACTGGGTAGTATACTCTTCTATCTCTGGGTCCTCACCTCTGACTCATTCACTCCCTATTGACCTCTTCTCCACGTGTAAGCACATGGGTCAGCTTTTCTACGAAGCCTTTCCTAACACCCCTGAGTCTGGGCCTCCAGCACAGCATTTGTCTCACTGCACTGTGAGTACTGATTCACTTCTCTGTTGTCTCCATGAAACTGCAGGCCCCTTGAGAGCAGAGGACGTGCCGCATGTCTGCTTTACATGCTGGCATGTAATGCTTACAATGCTCGAGACTTGCTGAGTAAAGCAGGTGGTTTTCTTTTAGCTGCTGATGTATACCTAGAATCACAGACCCTCCTCATGACCAAGGGAAGAACCAGAGGAAGCCTAGAGTATGTGTAATAAACCTCTTATAAAGGCAACATGAAGAAAGGATAATTGGTCCTTAGAACATACCTGTCCGTTTATCTCTGTCCAGGCTCCAGGGACTTTATCATGACCTCGGATCCAGTTATGTAAAACTTCAGCAGACTGATCCCAAGAAACCTAGAAAGGCACGAAGCACAGGATGAACCTTCTAATGCTGCAAATGTCAAAGGCAATAGAAACATGTCTCCTTAGCAGTGGCAGAAGTAAAGGTGGGGCAGATCTACCTTTTGGCCAGGAAATGGTACATTGGGAACTACTTAAAGGTAGAGGGTCATGAACTTTGAGCTGTGTTACTGAGTTAATATAAATACCTGAGCATTTTCCTTTCTCTGGATACCTTCGTATGTTGCTCCTTCTTCTGGCTGGGGAATACGAGGAGCTTTTCCATTGGCTATGAGTTGGACGGCTTCAACCTAAAGCCAAAAACATTACCTATGTCACAACCCAGTGGTCAGAAATGGCATGGTTTAATTAACATTTCTGCTTAACAGAATTGCTATATACACATCTGTCCAGAGAGTCAGACTATGATCATAACCATTTCTTGAGGTCCATCTATGTGCCCAGCACTTTGCTAGCTACTTTACGTAAAATATCCATTGCAGACATCACACCAGTCTTGCCATGTAAATAATATTATTCCTGTTTTACAGGTGAGCAAATGGAGGCTTAGAAAAGTTAAGCAACTAGTTCAGTATCACAGAGATAGCTTGAAGGTGTCAGAAGCAAGATCTACCTAAAGCTAATATCAAGCCTATACTCTTAAAACTGACTCCCTCATTTAACTAAGTTTCAACCTCTCCTTGATGATACAATGAAATTCTAAGAATACAACTATAAGATAAATCATTGTGGGTTATTTCTGCTCATCATGAGGATTCTAGAAAGTAATACATTGCTATACTTATGTCACTCAACTTGCTTTCTAGCTTTGGACACCTAGAATTTTAACAAGTTAGAGTCTACCCATGAATTTACCTTTGGGGTGTGTCCTGCATTCTTTTCCATGCCAGATTGATGTTTGCCTCGAATTGAGAGCCTCTCCCCTTCACTGGGAGGTCTACCTGAGTTCAAGTTCTCAGATTTCTAAGTACCCACAGCAGCTGACCACCTCCCAAAGAGCACATGGAGGGAGCCCCCCAGGGGCAGGGCTGGTTGACAGCTCACTAATTCCACCTATCTCCAGCCATAATATCATCAAGTACAGGAGCTGGGCTTGAGCAAATGCCACAGAACACACATAACACTATTTTGATTATAATTATCATTCTTGAGCACCTACTGTGTACCAGATGCTTTACACAAATGCCACTTAATTTTCACAACAACCCTCTAAGTCAGGCAGTATCATCCACATAATATTAGATAAGAAAATTAAGGTTAAAGAAGCTAAGTGTCTTGTCTGCTGTCATACAACAAAAAAGCGGTAAAATGAGATCTTTGGTGTCTTCCTGACACAAAGCCCTAATCTCTTAATCATTCAACATGCAACCAAAGAACTGCTCTCTTCCCCCCTAAATCAAAACTGCAGCTTTACATAACCTCACTATCCATTGTTGTGTTGCCCCTTCTACCCCACCAAACTTGGGGAAAAAATGAAGTGACGCTTAAATTGTCTTTAAATATTTTTACAGGCTAATATATCTCTACTTTGCTGTGTGCACGCTTGAAGCTTTTTAGTAAAATAATTCCAAATCTTACTCTGCTACATAGACTGATTTCAAATACTTTCGAAGGGAGTCCAAATTGCACAGCCAAATATCTTAAGATTCTGTACACTTCTTTACAAGCAGTCATTATAAATAGGATTGGAAATTCAAGTATTGGGCAAAATCAGTGAAGCAGTTTGATTGCTAGTTCATCCATTTGATCAGAAGAACACGTCAGCTCCATAGACTATGTAATTTTAAAAGTCAGATTTTACCCATCCTCTAGGTAACTATAAAATCTTGTTTTGTTTTTCAACTTTTTATTTTTAGTAAAAATTCATATTGGCCAATTCACACAAAGAAAAATATTTCCAGAATTTTAAGATTTACTAAATTGTTCTTGATTGCAGAAATATACTGACCATGGCCTTGATCCCCTCAGGAAAGAGAAATCGATTATAAAGTGTATCCACTGTATCATTGTGTTGGACATCACATGACCTCTGAAGGAGGATAGGTCCTGTGTCTAAACCATCATCAGCCCAGAAAACAGAAAACCCAGCTTTCTTATCTCCCATTATTAGAGTCCTGTGAAAAGAAGAGTTTCAGCTTAAAATCTTGGTTAACTATATCATAAAGTGACAAATTAATGATATTAAAGTACAAGATAGTTACAATGGAAAGTACACAGTGAATGAGGCTACCATGAGAAATTAACAGTAGAGCCAGGAGATGTCAATACTCATAAAAATCAATGCTCAAAAGTACTACTATTTTATACACCCTCAAATCTGTAGTCACATACTAATGACTTATAGTCCACTCAAAAGGGCATTAGAGTCCAACATCACTACCATTCATCGACTCCCCATGTCAGCTTTCTTCTACAGCATCAAGAAATTTTGCCCACCTAGGTCCAGTTCCTATGCTGTAGTTGACCCTGTATTAAGCATAATAAGATATGGAAGATAAAACTAGGATACTTGTGCAATGTGAAGATGAGAACTGATCATCAGTTTAGATTGTATAATTCAGCTACAAGTGTCAGCTAGACTTAGCTCTTGATTGTCTACATAAATGATAGTAAAAGACAGTAGATTAATTCAGCTTTTTGTATTATGTGCTCTACAAACCTGAGCCTAAAACAAAATGTTGGCTCTATAGGAACTTATAATACTAACAATAAACTGGATCTGTGGACAAATACCTATAAAAGCGTATCAAAGAGCAGGCCAATATTGAGAGAGTATGAAGTGGTAGGTCATCCATGCTCATGATCTAAATCATTTTTACTTCTCGGAGCTACTAATCCAGCAAGACCCAAATCAATCAATCAATCAATCAATCAATTCACCACCCTTTTCATAAATATTGAGGAACAAATTGGCATTATGTTATCAAGAGCTTTGAAAATATTCATATACTCTGACCCAATGATTTTGCATATGGAAGCAACATGAGGTGAGAAAAATATACAAGTTTAAGTGCAAAGAAATCACTAGAGTACTATTTACAATTGCAAAATAAATAAATTCATGTAATCAGACTGTAAGTACAATGAAATGTTTTCATCACATTTAAGCCAAGTGTAGATTTTCTGCCTATTTAATAACTTGACAGTGAGAGATATTAGTGAGTATCAGGTAATGGAGAGAAGGTACAAAAGGGTACCTATGGTATTTGGTGCCTATAGTTACAACCAGGCACTATTCTTGATACTGGGGAATAGAGCAAAAGATGTTACACTATAGTCCCTTCCCTCAAGAGCCTTAACATTGAATGGGGAAGGCAGACAATGAAGAAAATAATTTCAGGTAACTCCGCATGTTCTGAAATGTACATGACATGTTCTATGCAAAAACTCTTGTATGGTCAATATGTCTGGTCAATATATTCAGATTCCCTCTAGGAGATTATGATGTTTTCACTAAAATACATATTAAAGGTTCTAAGAAGTTCTGTGAAAAGCAAATTAAGTACAACCATACTTCTCTAACTGTAGAACCTTTGTTTGCTCAATACCTAGTTATATCCAGTGGAACTAGTACTTCATAGACTATTCTTGGGAAACACTGTTCTGGCGCAAACAGCACCTCTAGGGAGTTCAGTAGTACCTATTGATCAGGGCCTCATAATTGTTTAAGTGCATTTAGAAATATTATAGGCAATGGAAATAGGCCCAACTTTCTCTGTCACTAAAAACAAACAAACAAACAAACAAACAAATGAACAAATAAATAAATAAAATCTCACCAGTTGATAGCAGAGGCTCCTCTGTGCCTGGGGAGGATGGATGGGTGATAAATGATAGAACCATGCTTTGGGCTATCAATTACATCCATCGGGATGAACTGTGTGCAGAAGGGAAGCACGTTTAGCTCGGCGCCCACAGATCTGTAGGCCTCCGCCACCTCCTTTATGGTCTTGCCCTTGACTCTCCAGCAGGGGAACTTGAACACAGGGGTCCCATCTTTCTCTGCAGCTAAAGCTGAGCATGAAAGAGAACATTATTTTCACTAAAAAAAAATTTAACCATGAGTTTATATTGTTATGGATTCACATACTGCAATTTTATAGCTTCACGAAACACAAATAAAGCATGGTGAAGAACAATTCAGATTATGACCAGGATTTGACCTGTTACAATTTTAATTTTTTCTGAGATAAATGTATTCTTTTTGTCCCCACCTCAATTTCTATTATTGGATGTGGCCCTCATTTCCCTTGGCACCTTGTCATCAGGCATTATTCTAGAAGCCTCAGAGCACCTTTGGAAAGTCACAAGTGTAATTAAAGAAAAACGCATGCCTGGAAATTCCTCTGATGGACCTGGTGATTACCAGGGAGGTAAGTGGAGAGACTCTTAATACAATAGGGGCCTGCACCTTTGTCTTGGGCACCACAGAGAAGGAAGGGTTTTTTAGTCTGTATGTACTCTGCAAAAGCTTTCAGAGAAGGCTTTCAATAGGCAGAGTGGATGTGGCACAGCCCAGAGGGGAGGCGTGCAGTCTGGGTCTTTGGGGCCTGTGGCAAAGAAGTGGAAGTACAGAAATGCTCATGGGGGATAGGCAGTCTGAGCTGGATAGCTGGATGGCCGGTGCAGAGTCCAGTTGTTCCAAGATACACTCACCCAGTGGGTCAGCCTTGCCGTCCTTGTCTGGAACAGTGAAGACCCCCACGACTCGGTGGCCCTCTTTGCGGAGATGGCTGTAGACTTCCTGTCCAAAGAGGCTCTGACCAATGAGTGCTAACTTCAGCTTGTTTTGGAAATAAACCTGTGGAATGGTTTAATGATGACAGTTGTTGGCATGGCTAGAAGACATGGAAAATAATCATTCTTTTTTCAATCATGCAAGATGACTTGAGGACAAAGACTCAAAGATCTACAAAATAAAATTTGTATTCACATACACTAAACTCAGACTACAGTATGTATAGACAGTCATGAAAATAATCTCCCACCTAAGTATTCCTTCTTTTGCTCTAGTTCCCTTGATTATTCCTAATAATATTTAGGATTGCATATATTTTTATAGGCCACTTCCACTCTTTGAGGTCAGAGGTTAACAAATAAATGTGAGTTTCACAGTTAAAGGGAATTTAACTCTGAGCAAGACCTACTTCAGCATGATAATGCTTTCATGCTCATGCAGTATAGAAATAAAAACTGGACTCACCTCTTACCTCCAAAAGAGAAAAGGCTAACATCCAGTATTAACATAGGAGCCAAAAGCAGAACGTAGAGCTAGACTATATGAAGTCAAAACCTAGTGCCACCCCTTAATTGTGTGGCCTTTTGCAAGTAACTAACTTCTGTTTGACTTTTTTTCCCTTCTCATCTATAAAATGGGAATAATAGTAACACCAGTCTCACATGATTTTGAGTGAAGGAGATGACTTAATATGCAATATGCTTAATGCAGTGTCTGACACAAAGTGCTGCTTAAGTAAAAGCTTTAATGTTTTAAAGGTTATGGTATATAATAGACACTGTTCTATGTTTTTTCATATAGTCCAGAATTCCAAAATCCTGGGTAAGTGGCCCAAATTCACTTGACCTCATAACCTGGTTTGGTCTAGTAGAATGTTCTTTGTAGTCCTCATAGGTTTCTTTTTAAGTTTGCACACCTATCTGGCTTCATCCTGACCTGAACTGACATAATGCTATTTATAGTATTTAAAAAGACTATATGAGTGTTCATATGTTTCACTACAGATAAATCAATGTGTTTTATTACAGATACTCTTTCAGACCCTAATTTGAATTGTACCATATGAATGTGAATCTATGTACCATGCTAATTTTCCAAAATGTGAATAATTCTGAACCCCAAAAGACATTTGGCCCCATAGGTTTCAGATAAAGAATTAAGGCCTGCACACTATTTCATTTCATTCAATCCTCATAATGATCCTGTTTTATTATCTCTCACTTTGTACCATTTTATGAATGAAGGAACTGAAGCTTAGAAATGCTTATTTCCAAGGTCATCCTGGCCAAAAAGTGGGAGAGCTGGGGTTTGACTTCAGGTCTGTCTGATGCCAAATCCCATGTATCTACTTAAAAACAAAATCATCAAAATGAGCTACTACCACTCATCTCAACTATCTTTTAAGAAAATTAATACTGATGCACAAAAATACAATGATTATCAAAAAATATAAACATCACAGAGATGAGAGTAGCACTGGAGGAGAGGAAGTTTTTAAGAACGGTCTTTAAGCAATTACACCTTCAGCAAATTCTCCCAAAACGGAACCTTTTCACAAAGCCAAGGCAATACGTTGACATGGCTGTTAAGACAGTGATGAAAAGCGTCAGGTGAGGCAGTCTGGGGCAGGGTGGTGGGTGCAGAGACCGTAATTAGAGGTCATGGCTTCCTATGTGCTTCCTGTCCTGGTAGCAGACTAGTCCCAGCAACCCAGAACCCTTTCTACCTCTCATCCCTCCATGTCAGAATATGGCTCCACAGAATCTGGATTTAGAGTATTTTCCTTTAATCTATATGGGATTCTTCAATGTTCTAGAAACTCACTGTAAATTAGTAAAGCCTCACTGCGAAAACGTAATTATGAGGTAAGTTAATTTTCCCATTTCCCACTTTATTAAGGGCATAGATGGCATTCCTTTTTAGGCATTCACACCTTCCTTGTAATGGATCTGATAATTAAACAATTAATGTTTTAGTTTAAAAATCCTTTCCCAGGCCAAAGTTTCTATCCCAGAAGAGCCTAGAGCTTCAATATCTAACAGACACTAGCAAGCATACAGATTAAAAGACAGTTTGCCTAGAGATAATGCATGATCATTTAATTTCCTCGCCTAAAAATCAAAATTTTCTGTAAATAGTCTATCTTCAAATCCTATAAGTAATGTTGTCTCTTGAAACAGAACTGACATGTTGGCTATCTTACAAAATTTGGCTATATGTCATTCCACTATCAACACCAGATATTTTAAAACATCTAAAATACTATTCTTAAGACACATAAGAGCCAGGAGGGTAAGCAGGCTCAAATGTACGGTGCTAGTTCAGCTTCCGCCTGGCTATTTGCAGTGCAATTCTGGATACGGTACTCCCCTAGAGGGGCAGGGTTTCAAGAGACCATGTCAATGTGTTTGGAAATACCACTTCCACGGAAACACTTTCTGCATTTAATTCTACACAGGTGAGTCTCTAACATGGAGAAAGGTTCAGATTTTATGCCTGTAAGCATGTCTATAAAGACTTAGCATGATGACAAAAACCTGGACTGGGATAGGCTTATTTTGCCAAGTGTGATCTGAGGACCGACTCCCCTCGTTGGCAAAATCAAATGGGAGGATGCTAAAAATGTGGATTCCTGGGCCTCGCCACAGATCTACGGAGTCAGACTCTCAGGCCCAGGAAGCAGCATTTTCACTAGCTCTTCACTGACTCACAGGCACACTGAAATCTGAGAACCTCTGCTGTAGGGAGGGTGCGCGTTTGCCCACTAGGAGATCAAACCCAGATTGTGCAATGAGGAAGTCACCCTTACAAACGGGGGTGTGTGCTAGCAGCCCTCCCTGCAGAAAAGGTGGAACTGTCCTTTATGATCAACCCAGAACACCCCAGTATGAGAGACTGTATCAAACATCTGCAGAAATGACACAAAGCAAGAGATAGTCTATGAATGCATGAATGGTTTCAAAAATGCCCTATATCCAGATGAGTCCACATTTATCATTTATTTATATTGATAAAAATGTCAATGAGATGAAAAGCTCTCACAGACTTGTCTGAAGGTAGGGTTTTCGAGGGGAGTGTTGGTGTTGGTGGGGGTCAGTAGGCAGATGCAAAGTTGTAAACAGACTACTACACCGCAGAGGGATTACTGATGGAAGTAGAAGGCATTTTGTGAGTTCATGGAACCAGGAGTGGGTCCAGACTCTAACCAAGAAAACTTGATACTGATTGATTTGTTTTTATAATTCTTTGATTATAACCTTTCGTTTTTTTTGAGCACTGATAGTTAACATATATTGAATACTTATTCTATGCCAGGGACTAAGTACTTAAAATTATCAGTTTTTAACTCATTTAATCTTCACAATAATCCAAAACCTATAGAGGAGACATTATTATTATTCCCATTTTAAAATAGGGAACTCAAGGCACCCAGTGGTTAAGTAAACCACCCAAGGTTACACAGCAGAGAGCAGAGTCAGAATTTTAATGGAAAAATTTTGGCCTCAGGTCCCACACTCTTAACCACTGCACTAATCTTCCTTTCTTGGTCCTTCATCACACACATTTTTATTAGCACCTAAAACATACTAAGAACCGGGCTCCAGTGCAGAGATGATGAAGGCAGTAACATGGTGCCTTGCCCCTAAGGGGTTCACAGTCTAGTGGGGGAGGAGGGATAAACAGTTTAAAAAAAAACCCTTACAACATACAATATGCTGTATCAGAGGTCGGCGGGCACTGTGGGAACAGAGAGGAAGGCTACACAACCCTAACAGGCTGGGCGCGTGAGGTCAGGAAGCCTCCTGGAAGAGGTGAGTTGAGTGGATTCCCCAGGGATTAGAAGGCGGTTCCTGCTCCTGCCCCCGCCCTCCTCCCTCCCACACCTCTCACACCTGCTCCTCACACCCTAGGCTCTCCCCTGAATTCTTCTGCCAGTCCTAGACTGGGTAGTATACTCTTCTATCTCTGGGTCCTCACCTCTGACTCATTCACTCCCTATTGACCTCTTCTCCACGTGTAAGCAAATGGGTCAGCTTTTCTACGAAGCCTTTCCTAACACCCCTGAGTCTGGGCCTCCAGCACAGCATTTGTCTCACTGCACTGTGAGTACTGATTCACTTCTCTGTTGTCTCCATGAAACTGCAGGCCCCTTGAGAGCAGAGGACGTGCCGCATGTCTGCTTTACATGCTGGCATGTAATGCTTACAATGCTCGAGACTTGCTGAGTAAAGCAGGTGGTTTTCTTTTAGCTGCTGATGTATACCTAGAATCACAGACCCTCCTCATGACCAAGGGAAGAACCAGAGGAAGCCTAGAGTATGTGTAATAAACCTCTTATAAAGGCAACATGAAGAAAGGATAATTGGTCCTTAGAACATACCTGTCCGTTTATCTCTGTCCAGGCTCCAGGGACTTTATCATGACCTCGGATCCAGTTATGTAAAACTTCAGCAGACTGATCCCAAGAAACCTAGAAAGGCACGAAGCACAGGATGAACCTTCTAATGCTGCAAATGTCAAAGGCAATAGAAACATGTCTCCTTAGCAGTGGCAGAAGTAAAGGTGGGGCAGATCTACCTTTTGGCCAGGAAATGGTACATTGGGAACTACTTAAAGGTAGAGGGTCATGAACTTTGAGCTGTGTTACTGAGTTAATATAAATACCTGAGCATTTTCCTTTCTCTGGATACCTTCGTATGTTGCTCCTTCTTCTGGCTGGGGAATACGAGGAGCTTTTCCATTGGCTATGAGTTGGACGGCTTCAACCTAAAGCCAAAAACATTACCTATGTCACAACCCAGTGGTCAGAAATGGCATGGTTTAATTAACATTTCTGCTTAACAGAATTGCTATATACACATCTGTCCAGAGAGTCAGACTATGATCATAACCATTTCTTGAGGTCCATCTATGTGCCCAGCACTTTGCTAGCTACTTTACGTAAAATATCCATTGCAGACATCACACCAGTCTTGCCATGTAAATAATATTATTCCTGTTTTACAGGTGAGCAAATGGAGGCTTAGAAAAGTTAAGCAACTAGTTCAGTATCACAGAGATAGCTTGAAGGTGTCAGAAGCAAGATCTACCTAAAGCTAATATCAAGCCTATACTCTTAAAACTGACTCCCTCATTTAAATAAGTTTCAACCTCTCCTTGATGATACAATGAAATTCTAAGAATACAACTATAAGATAAATCATTGTGGGTTATTTCTGCTCATCATGAGGATTCTAGAAAGTAATACATTGCTATACTTATGTCACTCAACTTGCTTTCTAGCTTTGGACACCTAGAATTTTAACAAGTTAGAGTCTACCCATGAATTTACCTTTGGGGTGTGTCCTGCATTCTTTTCCATGCCAGATTGATGTTTGCCTCGAATTGAGAGCCTCTCCCCTTCACTGGGAGGTCTACCTGAGTTCAAGTTCTCAGATTTCTAAGTACCCACAGCAGCTGACCACCTCCCAAAGAGCACATGGAGGGAGCCCCCCAGGGGCAGGGCTGGTTGACAGCTCACTAATTCCACCTATCTCCAGCCATAATATCATCAAGTACAGGAGCTGGGCTTGAGCAAATGCCACAGAACACACATAACACTATTTTGATTATAATTATCATTCTTGAGCACCTACTGTGTACCAGATGCTTTACACAAATGCCACTTAATTTTCACAACAACCCTCTAAGTCAGGCAGTATCATCCACATAATATTAGATAAGAAAATTAAGGTTAAAGAAGCTAAGTGTCTTGTCTGCTGTCATACAACAAAAAAGCGGTAAAATGAGATCTTTGGTGTCTTCCTGACACAAAGCCCTAATCTCTTAATCATTCAACATGCAACCAAAGAACTGCTCTCTTCCCCCCTAAATCAAAACTGCAGCTTTACATAACCTCACTATCCATTGTTGTGTTGCCCCTTCTACCCCACCAAACTTGGGGAAAAAATGAAGTGACGCTTAAATTGTCTTTAAATATTTTTACAGGCTAATATATCTCTACTTTGCTGTGTGCACGCTTGAAGCTTTTTAGTAAAATAATTCCAAATCTTACTCTGCTACATAGACTGATTTCAAATACTTTCGAAGGGAGTCCAAATTGCACAGCCAAATATCTTAAGATTCTGTACACTTCTTTACAAGCAGTCATTATAAATAGGATTGGAAATTCAAGTATTGGGCAAAATCAGTGAAGCAGTTTGATTGCTAGTTCATCCATTTGATCAGAAGAACACGTCAGCTCCATAGACTATGTAATTTTAAAAGTCAGATTTTACCCATCCTCTAGGTAACTATAAAATCTTGTTTTGTTTTTCAACTTTTTATTTTTAGTAAAAATTCATATTGGCCAATTCACAACAAAAGAAAAATATTTCCAGAATTTTAAGATTTACTAAATTGTTCTTGATTGCAGAAATATACTGACCATGGCCTTGATCCCCTCAGGAAAGAGAAATCGATTATAAAGTGTATCCACTGTATCATTGTGTTGGACATCACATGACCTCTGAAGGAGGATAGGTCCTGTGTCTAAACCATCATCAGCCCAGAAAACAGAAAACCCAGCTTTCTTATCTCCCATTATTAGAGTCCTGTGAAAAGAAGAGTTTCAGCTTAAAATCTTGGTTAACTATATCATAAAGTGACAAATTAATGATATTAAAGTACAAGATAGTTACAATGGAAAGTACACAGTGAATGAGGCTACCATGAGAAATTAACAGTAGAGCCAGGAGATGTCAATACTCATAAAAATCAATGCTCAAAAGTACTACTATTTTATACACCCTCAAATCTGTAGTCACATACTAATGACTTATAGTCCACTCAAAAGGGCATTAGAGTCCAACATCACTACCATTCATCGACTCCCCATGTCAGCTTTCTTCTACAGCATCAAGAAATTTTGCCCACCTAGGTCCAGTTCCTATGCTGTAGTTGACCCTGTATTAAGCATAATAAGATATGGAAGATAAAACTAGGATACTTGTGCAATGTGAAGATGAGAACTGATCATCAGTTTAGATTGTATAATTCAGCTACAAGTGTCAGCTAGACTTAGCTCTTGATTGTCTACATAAATGATAGTAAAAGACAGTTGATTAATTCAGCTTTTTGTATTATGTGCTCTACAAATCTGAGCCTAAAACAAAATGTTGACTCTATAGGAACTTATAATACTAACAATAAACTGGATCTGTGGACAAATACCTATAAAAGCGTATCAAAGAGCAGGCCAATATTGAGAGAGTATGAAGTGGTAGGTCATCCATGCTCATGATCTAAATCATTTTTACTTCTCGGAGCTACTAATCCAGCAAGACCCAAATCAATCAATCAATCAATCAATCAATTCACCACCCTTTTCATAAATATTGAGGAACAAATTGACATTATGTTATCAAGAGCTTTGAAAATATTCATATACTCTGACCCAATGATTTTGCATATGGAAGCAACATGAGGTGAGAAAAATATACAAGTTTAAGTGCAAAGAAATCACTAGAGTACTATTTACAATTGCAAAATAAATAAATTCATGTAATCAGACTGTAAGTACAATGAAATGTTTTCATCACATTTAAGCCAAGTGTAGATTTTCTGCCTATTTAATAACTTGACAGTGAGAGATATCAGTGAGTATCAGGTAAAGGAGAGAAGGTACAAAAGGGTACCTATGGTATTTGGTGCCTATAGTTACAACCAGGCACTATTCTTGATACTGGGGAATAGAGCAAAAGATGTTACACTATAGTCCCTTCCCTCAAGAGCCTTAACATTGAATGGGGAAGGCAGACAATGAAGAAAATAATTTCAGGTAACTCCGCATGTTCTGAAATGTACATGACATGTTCTATGCAAAAACTCTTGTATGGTCAATATGTCTGGTCAATATATTCAGATTCCCTCTAGGAGATTATGATGTTTTCACTAAAATACATATTAAAGGTTCTAAGAAGTTCTGTGAAAAGCAAATTAAGTACAACCATACTTCTCTAACTGTAGAACCTTTGTTTGCTCAATACCTAGTTATATCCAGTGGAACTAGTACTTCATAGACTATTCTTGGGAAACACTGTTCTGGCGCAAACAGCACCTCTAGGGAGTTCAGTAGTACCTATTGATCAGGGCCTCATAATTGTTTAAGTGCATTTAGAAATATTATAGGCAATGGAAATAGGCCCAACTTTCTCTGTCACTAAAAACAAACAAACAAACAAACAAACAAATGAACAAATAAATAAATAAAATCTCACCAGTTGATAGCAGAGGCTCCTCTGTGCCTGGGGAGGATGGATGGGTGATAAATGATAGAACCATGCTTTGGGCTATCAATTACATCCATCGGGATGAACTGTGTGCAGAAGGGAAGCACGTTTAGCTCGGCGCCCACAGATCTGTAGGCCTCCGCCACCTCCTTTATGGTCTTGCCCTTGACTCTCCAGCAGGGGAACTTGAACACAGGGGTCCCATCTTTCTCTGCAGCTAAAGCTGAGCATGAAAGAGAACATTATTTTCACTAAAAAAAAATTTAACCATGAGTTTATATTGTTATGGATTCACATACTGCAATTTTATAGCTTCACGAAACACAAATAAAGCATGGTGAAGAACAATTCAGATTATGACCAGGATTTGACCTGTTACAATTTTAATTTTTTCTGAGATAAATGTATTCTTTTTGTCCCCACCTCAATTTCTATTATTGGATGTGGCCCTCATTTCCCTTGGCACCTTGTCATCAGGCATTATTCTAGAAGCCTCAGAGCACCTTTGGAAAGTCACAAGTGTAATTAAAGAAAAACGCATGCCTGGAAATTCCTCTGATGGACCTGGTGATTACCAGGGAGGTAAGTGGAGAGACTCTTAATACAATAGGGGCCTGCACCTTTGTCTTGGGCACCACAGAGAAGGAAGGGTTTTTTAGTCTGTATGTACTCTGCAAAAGCTTTCAGAGAAGGCTTTCAATAGGCAGAGTGGATGTGGCACAGCCCAGAGGGGAGGCGTGCAGTCTGGGTCTTTGGGGCCTGTGGCAAAGAAGTGGAAGTACAGAAATGCTCATGGGGGATAGGCAGTCTGAGCTGGATAGCTGGATGGCCGGTGCAGAGTCCAGTTGTTCCAAGATACACTCACCCAGTGGGTCAGCCTTGCCGTCCTTGTCTGGAACAGTGAAGACCCCCACGACTCGGTGGCCCTCTTTGCGGAGATGGCTGTAGACTTCCTGTCCAAAGAGGCTCTGACCAATGAGTGCTAACTTCAGCTTGTTTTGGAAATAAACCTGTGGAATGGTTTAATGATGACAGTTGTTGGCATGGCTAGAAGACATGGAAAATAATCATTCTTTTTTCAATCATGCAAGATGACTTGAGGACAAAGACTCAAAGATCTACAAAATAAAATTTGTATTCACATACACTAAACTCAGACTACAGTATGTATAGACAGTCATGAAAATAATCTCCCACCTAAGTATTCCTTCTTTTGCTCTAGTTCCCTTGATTATTCCTAATAATATTTAGGATTGCATATATTTTTATAGGCCACTTCCACTCTTTGAGGTCAGAGGTTAACAAATAAATGTGAGTTTCACAGTTAAAGGGAATTTAACTCTGAGCAAGACCTACTTCAGCATGATAATGCTTTCATGCTCATGCAGTATAGAAATAAAAACTGGACTCACCTCTTACCTCCAAAAGAGAAAAGGCTAACATCCAGTATTAACATAGGAGCCAAAAGCAGAACGTAGAGCTAGACTATATGAAGTCAAAACCTAGTGCCACCCCTTAATTGTGTGGCCTTTTGCAAGTAACTAACTTCTGTTTGACTTTTTTTCCCTTCTCATCTATAAAATGGGAATAATAGTAACACCAGTCTCACATGATTTTGAGTGAAGGAGATGACTTAATATGCAATATGCTTAATGCAGTGTCTGACACAAAGTGCTGCTTAAGTAAAAGCTTTAATGTTTTAAAGGTTATGGTATATAATAGACACTGTTCTATGTTTTTTCATATAGTCCAGAATTCCAAAATCCTGGGTAAGTGGCCCAAATTCACTTGACCTCATAACCTGGTTTGGTCTAGTAGAATGTTCTTTGTAGTCCTCATAGGTTTCTTTTTAAGTTTGCACACCTATCTGGCTTCATCCTGACCTGAACTGACATAATGCTATTTATAGTATTTAAAAAGACTATATGAGTGTTCATATGTTTCACTACAGATAAATCAATGTGTTTTATTACAGATACTCTTTCAGACCCTAATTTGAATTGTACCATATGAATGTGAATCTATGTACCATGCTAATTTTCCAAAATGTGAATAATTCTGAACCCCAAAAGACATTTGGCCCCATAGGTTTCAGATAAAGAATTAAGGCCTGCACACTATTTCATTTCATTCAATCCTCATAATGATCCTGTTTTATTATCTCTCACTTTGTACCATTTTATGAATGAAGAAACTGAAGCTTAGAAATGCTTATTTCCAAGGTCATCCTGGCCAAAAAGTGGGAGAGCTGGGGTTTGACTTCAGGTCTGTCTGATGCCAAATCCCATGTATCTACTTAAAAACAAAATCATCAAAATGAGCTACTACCACTCATCTCAACTATCTTTTAAGAAAATTAATACTGATGCACAAAAATACAATGATTATCAAAAAATATAAACATCACAGAGATGAGAGTAGCACTGGAGGAGAGGAAGTTTTTAAGAACGGTCTTTAAGCAATTACACCTTCAGCAAATTCTCCCAAAACGGAACCTTTTCACAAAGCCAAGGCAATACGTTGACATGGCTGTTAAGACAGTGATGAAAAGCGTCAGGTGAGGCAGTCTGGGGCAGGGTGGTGGGTGCAGAGACCGTAATTAGAGGTCATGGCTTCCTATGTGCTTCCTGTCCTGGTAGCAGACTAGTCCCAGCAACCCAGAACCCTTTCTACCTCTCATCCCTCCATGTCAGAATATGGCTCCACAGAATCTGGATTTAGAGTATTTTCCTTTAATCTATATGGGATTCTTCAATGTTCTAGAAACTCACTGTAAATTAGTAAAGCCTCACTGCGAAAACGTAATTATGAGGTAAGTTAATTTTCCCATTTCCCACTTTATTAAGGGCATAGATGGCATTCCTTTTTAGGCATTCACACCTTCCTTGTAATGGATCTGATAATTAAACAATTAATGTTTTAGTTTAAAAATCCTTTCCCAGGCCAAAGTTTCTATCCCAGAAGAGCCTAGAGCTTCAATATCTAACAGACACTAGCAAGCATACAGATTAAAAGACAGTTTGCCTAGAGATAATGCATGATCATTTAATTTCCTCGCCTAAAAATCAAAATTTTCTGTAAATAGTCTATCTTCAAATCCTATAAGTAATGTTGTCTCTTGAAACAGAACTGACATGTTGGCTATCTTACAAAATTTGGCTATATGTCATTCCACTATCAACACCAGATATTTTAAAACATCTAAAATACTATTCTTAAGACACATAAGAGCCAGGAGGGTAAGCAGGCTCAAATGTACGGTGCTAGTTCAGCTTCCGCCTGGCTATTTGCAGTGCAATTCTGGATACGGTACTCCCCTAGAGGGGCAGGGTTTCAAGAGACCATGTCAATGTGTTTGGAAATACCACTTCCACGGAAACACTTTCTGCATTTAATTCTACACAGGTGAGTCTCTAACATGGAGAAAGGTTCAGATTTTATGCCTGTAAGCATGTCTATAAAGACTTAGCATGATGACAAAAACCTGGACTGGGATAGGCTTATTTTGCCAAGTGTGATCTGAGGACCGACTCCCCTCGTTGGCAAAATCAAATGGGAGGATGCTAAAAATGTGGATTCCTGGGCCTCGCCACAGATCTACAGAGTCAGACTCTCAGGCCCAGGAAGCAGCATTTTCACTAGCTCTTCACTGACTCACAGGCACACTGAAATCTGAGAACCTCTGCTGTAGGGAGGGTGCGCGTTTGCCCACTGTGTGAAAGATTCTGCCCTGGGGAGTTTGGGTGAGGAAGAAGGGGTGGAAATAATAGCAAACATCTTAACAAGACCCTAGTATGTGCCAAGTAGTTCATATATATTACCTCATTTTGATTGCTCAATGACTCCTGGAGACAGGCATTATTAAGCCTTTTTACAGATGAAGAAATTAAAACACAGCAGTTAAGGTACAGCCTGGAGTCAAACAGCTACTAAGTGGCCCTGAGATTCTGAGTCTAGTTACTTGCAAGCATACCCATGCCCACCACTTTTCTAAAACACTAAGCTGAGCTGGGCCTCATAAATTTAAGTCCGAATAATAATAGCACCTCTCTCATAAGGTTGATATAAGGATTTGGTGGGGTAAAGCATGTGTGATGCATTAGTACAGTGCGTGACAATAGTAAATGCTCAATAAATGTTAACTGTTTTGTCACAGGAAATACCTAAGTAAATAAAAATTATGATGATGGATCTTTTCTACTGGGAAGGTACCATGAACCTGGCACTATACTGAGCTGTTTTCACTAATTCAAAAAAAAGTTATACCAAATGCTTATTACGTGTCTTCAAGTTTCACAGTAACCCATTTTACAAATGAAAAAACAGGGTTCAGAGAAATTAAGGAATCTCCCCATGGATAGGGCTACTAAGGAGCAGAGGCAGGATTCAAACTCACTTCAGTGAATATGCTTCTACAGCTTTCCTATGTTGAAGGTCTCTCCCCTCCCCTTGTTTAAAAAAAAAGAAAAATATGGCAATAGATTGATAATTCAATTGTGAGACACAGTTCCATCAGACTCTCTCAGGGAGTACATGGTGGTCCTGGCATGGGAGACAGCACCACTCATTTGTAGGGTGAGACTGGTGACCAGAGAACATTCTTTAAGGCACTGTAGGTGCCTGACACATAGAAGAGGGGACCATCAAATGACCTGCAGCATTTCTAAATCTGGGTGGTAAGTGCTGTTATCTTCACATCCTCTAGAGATGACGTTCTGCAGTACAAGAGACTTTTGTACAAAACAGAGCTTCTGCTTTTTTAAACTATCAAATAGAACATTCCAGGCTATCCACATTCTGATGGAATTCTTCAAGAAGCAAGTTAATATGGACTTCTGATTATGCTCCAAGGATTAAAAAAAATATATACAATGTCTTCTATAGAAAACTTAAAAGGCTCAGAGCTGAGCGTGCCCTGCCCTGAAGCCTTTTTGTGAACCAAAAGCTACCTTAATAGAAAGATTTGAACAGAGTATACAAAATCAGGCCAAAGCTATTGGCATTAGGAATTATTAAGAATTGACACTTTTACATGAAGGATCTTTCCACAAAAGAATAAAATGAAGTCCATTTTTCTGTGATGGTGAGATGCCTAACACTTCAAGGAGCATTCAACACATCACCCCCAAATCATGCCTGACAGTGTGCCAGATTTGTTCAATGAGTATATTTTGAACATTTACCATGCTCTGGGCATTGTACATGAAGGGGTTCCAAATCAGTTGCCTGGCAAGAGTGACCCACAGAGCATTTGTAAAACTACAATGATAAAATCTTAAGGAGGCTTCACGTTAGTAGGCTGAATCTCTGACTTCTAAAGAGGTTTATCAACCACCGTCTACATCCCTCATAGCCACAGTTACCTGTTTGGCCTCTGTAAGTGTTTTTCTTTGGGACTCCCTACACTAAAGGCACACAGACGTGCCCCTGTCTTCACTCCAGTGTTCACAGGTTAGTTCAGAAAACACGCAAGTACAACCATATTGGCATCAGAGGGATAGGACAGGAGGACTCAGTGTGGGTCCAGAAAGGAGATGTCCCAAGAAGAGAACTCCTTAACAAAATCTTAGGGGGCTCATCTTGGGAGTGGCCAAGAGAAGGTTGAAATTATGGAAGTTCCTTGCAAAGTTCCAGATGGAGGAAGCAAAGTTTTTGAAGAAATAAATGAGTGGGTAAATAAATATACAGCAAGTCAGGGAGGGACAGCAAATGACACTCTAGGGAGAGAGAAGAGACCCATTATGGAGGGCCTTGTCTACGTCAAATATTTTGGACCTTGTTGTGAAGACAGTGAGATCTACTGAATGACTTTCAGCAGAAGAGTGATATGATACGGTCTCATTTCTATGTTAACAGCTCATGCAGGTGATGCTCAAAATGACTTCCGGTGGGCACCCATGTTTGAGAATTGAGCAGATAGACAGTGAAAATAAAAGCTGACCTAATAATTCACCTTCGGTATATTCACAGGATGTAGGGATTAGTGTAAAAGCCCACACTACTATTACAACAAACTCTCATACTAAGTAGTCAGAAGCAACAAATTACTCTGCTTAGAGGTAAATCTGTGCAAGATTCAACCAAGATTCAGGACACCATCATAAACATCAACTTGTGAAACTTGATTTTCCTATTGCATAATCAGATAAAGAGTGTATTAATGAGAAATTTCTTGGCTAAATGGCCAACTTCTTTTTTCATCATAAAAAGGAAAAAAGATTTTAAAAAGAGGGATATCAACACAATTGTGACTAGCAGGCAAGGCCATATGGAGATGCTTAGCACCTGAAAACTGGATGAGGCTGGTAACCAGAGAATGTTTCAAAGACTTTGAGTGAAGGGGTGAACAGTCCAAAGGGCTGGATTCAGAGAAGGACATACTCCATGCATGCTAGAGAAGCAGGCTTCTGTGCAGAATAATTACAATATTCTAACTGAATAGAATTTTTAAAATTAATTTTTAATTACACATATAACATATACACGCAATTTCCTTATTAAAAAAGAAATGATTACAGATAAGACTGGAGTCCCCGCTGACTTCCATTCCCAGTCCAGGTCCCCTCTACCCTGCATAGAGAAAACTGCTATTTATAGTTTGGTGTACATCCTACAGATTTTTTTTAGGCACTATATACTGGAAATATACACATAAAATATTATTGTGTTTTTAAAAATAATACAGATGAAATAATATGTGTAATGTTCCATAACTATCCTCCTCAGCACATAGAATTCATTCTTTAAAAGTGCTATACAGCATTCCATAGTTTAACTATGACTGTTTATTTGGTCATGAGGGATATTTTGGCTTTTGACATGTCATTATCACAAATACCCCCCAATGACTATTCTTGTACATGCCTCCTATGCCCATGTGAAAGTGTTTTTGTCAGGTAGATATCCACAAATGAAAGTGTAGGATCATTTTTAAACTTAAATTTTAATGGATAGCATCAAATTGGCTTCTCGAGTATTTGAGGAACTGTTTTCTCATCCCTGTCAATACACAGTATTGTCAAACACTATGATTTTTGCCAATCTGATGAGTGAAAAATTATATCTTGTTCTAATTTGTATTTCCCTAATTACTAGTTTGGCTGAGTGTCTTTTCATATTTTATTGTCTATTTGTATTTCCTTTTTGCTTTATTGTCTGTTATTATTCTTTACCTAAACATAAGCTTAATCATTTGTCCCACTAATCTTTGAACACAGAAGGCAGAGACTACTTATTTCTTGTTTACTGTTTTATCCTTTTTGGCTTTGAGTCTCTGAAAAAGTTATTTAGCATCTGTGGGTCTCATTTTCCATATCTGTAAAATGGGCATAATAATAGTACCTACCTCACTGAGATGTAATGGTGATTAAATAACTATATATGTAAAGCATTTATAACAGTGCCTGGCACATACTAGGTGCTATAACAATACTTTGTATTATTATTATTAATATTATTATTTCCTCAGAATTTAGACAAAATCCTAAATACTTAATACACAATTCAATGTGGTTTGAAGTTGAATGTGGAGGTCCTAAAAACAAACTAGAGACCAAAGCAGGGGGGCAGGCAATGAGGAAATAGGTTAAGACCTGGTTGCTAAAACTAGAGTATAAAGCCAGTACTCGGTTCCATGAAGCAGGAAAGGATCCAACCTCTTGAAATGGATTATAAAGAACTAAGCTATGAACCCAGAATCACCAGCCAGACTTGTCCCAGACACTGGCAGAAGCTAAATAACAGAATGCCAAATAAATATGAAGGCTGAATAACTCCCACCACGGGGAGAATTTAAGAAGCAGTGAGCCAGGCAAAATATTGGAGTCGGACAATAATAACTAACTGACAAAAGATTTTATTGCTACATATAGTTGCACTAGTTAAAAAGATACGGCCATATTGCTACGCTGAAATCCTTAAATATTTCTAAGTCCATTTCTTTAAGACACAGAATGGAAAAATTAATTCTATTAGGAAGTATTTCATACTAATTTTCCCTGTGGATTTTGCCAGGTTCTGAGAGATTTTTTTCTTTTTTCCCATTCTTCTTTCATTCTGTTTTAATACCAAACTCAAAAGTGCTGTGTGATTTTTTTTTCACTTTTTAAAGATGAAGGTATATTTACATACAGTAAAATAAAATACATCCTTTTCTATGTACAGTTCTGAGAGTCTTAAAAAGTAGAGTCATGTAACCATTGCTATAATCAGAGTAAAGAATGGTTCCGTCACCACCCCAAATAGTCAATCCTTCCCATTACCTCCAGTCCTAATAACCACTAACCTGTTTTCTATCACTATAGTTTTACTCTTTCCAACATGTCAGATAAACAGGATCATATAATACATAGCTCTTTGAATCTGTCTTCTTCCACTTAATGTACATATTTCAGTTTCATCCATGTTGTTGTGTCTCAGTAGTTCACTCTTTTTTTTTCTTTTTCTGAGTAGGATTCCATTGTACGTGTTTTCTATCACTATAGTTTTACTCTTTCCAACATGTCAGATAAACAGGATCATATAATACATAGCTCTTTGAATCTGTCTTCCACTTAATGTACATATTTCAGTTTCATCCATGTTGTTGTGTCTCAGTAGTTCACTTTTTTTTTTCTTTTTCTGAGTAGGATTCCATTGTACGGATAGATATACTACAGTATGTTTATCCTGCCACCAGCTCAAGGACACTTGTTTCCAGTTTTTGTTAATTAAGAATAAAGCCTCTATAAACATTCATGAATAGGTGTAACCATGAACATAAGTTTTCATTTCTTTTGGGTAAGTACATAGGAGTTCAATTGCTGAGTTATCCATAGATACATGTTTAACTTTAAAACAAACTGCCAAAATTTTCCAAAGCAGCTATGCTATCCTATGCTCCCATCAGTCATGTTTGATTCTGAACAATTCTTATAGAACATGGTCTGAAGGATGGATCCCCACTTTCTTTCGAGTAAAATATCCCAAATTCTTCACTTAGCATTCCATGTCTTCCTTTTGGACATTGAAGAACCTGCCCTCTTCCCAGCCATGTGTCATTAATCTTCCACATGTATTCCTGGGTACAGACTCAGGTCCTTGGCTCCTGACCATGCCCGGTGCTTCTCCATATTCATATTTTTGTATATGCCACTTGCCACCTGGGACGTTCACCTTTTATTATGTAAATCTTATGTAAACCCCACTATTGTAAACTTTTCATTCTTCAAGACTTCCTTCCAAAAGAGACAATTCAATGAAAGGTGTTGAGAGAGGATGCCAAAAAATGGGCAGACACAAGCCCCTTGCTTTCTGTGCCACTCAACCCAGATTATCATGTGCCATGTAAAAGGAGAAGGCTGAGGAGGAGTCCAGAGCACTGCTTAGGAGAGCAAGCAAAAGCTCTATGAGAGCAGGTTTCTTTTTCTTTGTTTTTTAAAAAGGTGAATATTTCCCAAATAGCTAGAACTGAACATATAGGGTAAAGGGAATTCTCATTATTTGGGGCTGTCTGAGGCACAAAAGCTGTTCCATTCATGCAACTTTGGGCCAGTTCCTGGTGCTACTCAAGACTTCTGTCTCCAAGTTTTTTGCATCTGAATATGTACACATGCACATATGGCTTTGGCAGAGAAAAGGAATGGAAAAGCAAATTCTTTTATAATACAGCAAGCCTGCACTTCCCATAAAAGAAATAATGTATATAGGATGGATTTTTTTCCCCCTTCCTTAAACAGCTTAGAATCTGCTTAAGTGCAGGGAGGTATCTTTCCCGAGGCCCCCGAAGTGCTGAAGGCAGCGCCACATGCAACGTGTCCGCTCTTGTTCCATCTCTGGAAGAGCTGATGCAATTCCAAGGCGTTGGAGCTGGGCCAGGGCTTGGTTCTTGCGCTACAGTTTAGTAATGTTGTAGCGTGGCGGCTTCGGCAGCCAGTGCCCGAATCCTACAAATCTTGGCGCCTAGAGCTCAGCAGTGATGAGCTTGCAGCCAACAGCTCTGAGTGCCATTATCTGAATGGGCTCTGCAAGCCAGTCGCGAGCGCTCACACCTCGAAGGAGGACCCTGCTGACCTGATACAACTCTCCTGAAGACGCGCTCGGTCCTGCACCTTGGCTCCATCTCGTGACCAGGGATCTCACGATTGAAACGAAAAAGGAAAGGAAGCCGACTATGCCCGCTCTCGCCAAGTGACTGTTCTTACCCTGTCAATCCCAGCCAGACTTTAGACTTTCAAAAGTCACATCCCCTCCCCGTAGAAGACAATGGCTCATTTGACAAGCCACGTCCAGGAACCTCCTGGGCCCTTCTCTGCAGTGTACCAGTTTTTAAAACGCTGTCTTGGCTTTTAGCACAGTCCAAACATCGCTGCCCAGCCCCAGCCCCGCCGCCTGGCCCGCCCTCCCTAGGTTCTGGAAACCAGTCCCGGGTGAGAGCAGGGACAGACTCACCCGGCCGGTGGAGAAGCGCCGGAGCGCCTGGCTGCCCCGCCACAGCATGCTGGAAAGGAGCGCTCGCGCCGGCTGCGCCGTGGCGAGGAAGACAGGCTGGGCTCAGCCCCGGAGCGGCCTGCAGCCTCCAAGCCCCAGAGGCCTGGCTAGTTGCTCACGGTCTCTGCAGGTCCGCGACAGGCCCACGGCCCCGCCCCTTCAGCTGGCCGAGCTCCGGCGACCAATCCCGTGCGACTGGGCGGGGCGTGCGCCCACCGCCTGGAGCCGCCGGGCTCGCGGGTGCGGCGCCTAGGTGTGGCGCCGGTGCGCTGGTGCCCAGCGGGAGGGATGGCTTCCCGCAGTTGTATGGGTTCCAGTTATGCCCCAGGTTATTTCCTAGCTGTGGGATCTTCTACTTTACTCATTCCCTCCTAGGTGCACAGGGATCTGCCTTATTAATGGTGAATCTGCCACCCCAAGGCATGCCCATGCACAGGCTTAAGAAGGCAACAGGTGTGCAAAGACCCAGAAGGATGCTTAGCTTGGCATTCAAGGCCGTGGGCAGGCATTTACTCTTACTCTTGCTGCTCTTTTGCATGTGTAGTTAAGCCTAACAGCAGTACTTGTCGATTCCTTCCTGGACAATGCTTTCCAGAAACTTTTGTCGCTTGTTCTGGTCACCATTTTGGCATGACCAAACTCCTTCTTATCTTAAAGGTACATACAGTTCAAATGCTGCCTCCTAGAGGCATTTTTCCTAATTCTTTCCTCCCTTAACATCTTTATTCCCCTAATCTTTCATTCCTCTGAACTGGGAAGGACTTTTTCTATGCATGTCTTGTGACATTTCAGTCTATTAATGGTATTTGTGTACCTGTTGTCTTCTCTACTGGAAGCTCCTTCCAGGCTTAGTCCTTATCCAATTTATCAGGATTTAAAAAGTACTTGTTGGAAGAGAGAGTGAATGATGTTTAAGAAGGTAAGGAAAGAAAAAGAACCATCCTTAAAGGTTGGACAATTGCAGCAAACATCCAGGGGTTTTTGCTGTATGATCTGCCCCTTGCCAATTCAACCCACTTCCCTGACTACATTTTGTAATTTCTAAACTTCCAAATATTCATAATTTTATTTGTTCTGATCTTTGTATACTGGGAGGGTTGGGCAAGGAGTGTGGTTTTCTTGAGGAGGGGATCCACAGTTATATTCTCCAACTCCCAACTTTAGAAAATGTAGAGTTTATGTCCACCTACATATACTGGAATATTCACGATGCCTAAGATTGTTTTCTGAGAGAACCAAAAGTGTAGTTCTCTTGATAATTGGAGGTTAGGTCAAATGTAATTAAAGGTGGACAAAGAGAAAAATCTTGCCAATCTAGATTTTTATACCGAGCAAAAAATGGAGATGAAATGAAGTCATTTTTAGAAACAGAACCTTGAGAGAATTTGTCATCAGCAGACACACAATAAAGGGAATATTAAAGCATAGCCTTCAGGCAGGAGGAAAACTATCCACATGGAAGCCTAGAAATGCAGGCAGGAATGAAAACCAACAAATAAAGGCCAACGTGTGAGCAAATTAAATGAACATTGACCATATGAACAGTAATAAAATCTTATGTAAGTGTGTGTGTGTATACACACATATATATGAAAATATATAAACAATAGAAAATTGTTGTATATGTTTGGAGGGCTTGGAGGAATGGAATGTTATTAAGTAGAAAGAAAATAATCCCAGATGGCAGTTTAGAGATAAAGGAATGAAGAGCAATAGAAAGGGTAAACATGAGGGCAAGTTTAATAATAATTGTTTGAAACAATTCTAATAATGTTTTATGGATTTCAAATGTATAATTAAACTACATGACAACAATAGCATATTATTTTCAGGGAGAGAGGACAGAAAGTTCTAAGGTCATAGCATTGTCTTAGAAATAATAAAGTACATAAAGTACTAATTTTTGTTAGATTTTAATAAGTGGAGGATGCGTATTATGCTCTCTAGCCCAGCCACTAAAAGAATAGTAAGACAATGTATAACTACTAAGTTAATAGAATGTAGAACTATCAAGATAATAGATTAATTTTTTTAAATGATTCAAAAGGAGGCAAGAGAGGAGAGAAAAAGAAACAT